GTCCGTTGTCATTAACGCCACAGCAGTTGCTGTACTTATGTAAAAGGACCTCAGGCCCCGTGCAGTTGGATGGCGGGAAGCAGGGTCCTTGCCCGCCTGCCGCACACAGCTCCGGGAGAAAGACGCCAGGCGGGTGATTACTTGGTTAGCACTCAGTAGTGTAGGGTGGAGTAGGAGGGGCACAGAATGGAAGCGCAGTTGTCGTCGTCGGAGCAAGGAGCCCTCCTTGAGGAAGTGAAGTTGGAGCTGAGATTGAAGAATGAATAGATCGAGAGCACTTGTGAGGGCCCTAGGCTAGAGTTTCTGAGCGTGGGCGATGTTGCTCCCCTGGGCATATTTGCCAATGTCTGGAGATGTTTTTTTTTTTTTAATCACAACTCGGGGATTGCTCCTGGCATCTAGAGGGTAGGAGTCAAAGTTGCTGCTAAACATCCTACAGTGTACAGTACAGCCTTCACAACAAAGATTTATCCAACCGAAAATGTCAGTGGTACTGAGATTGAGGAACCGTGCTCTAGAGGAGCTGGTGCCTTTGGTGTGTGTGAAAACTTATTTGTCCAATAGAGGAAATTTAGTACTTGCTTCATCACAATAAACTGGGAGGATCAGAGCCCTGTTTGTCTTTTACACCAGTATATTTTCACCACATGGCAAATAGTAGGCACTCAGTAAATTTTGATTGATGAATTGAATACTGGGCTAGGTAGGGAGGAGTGGTGATACTAGGATGAGGAAGATAACCATGCCTCCTCATTAGTTGCCCTTAGGCCTTGTCTGTTTTATAGTGTCTGCTGGTGGTGTGTGTTCCAGGACTTGTTCTTTGTCAGAGCAACTTCTTAGCAATGACTTGGCTTTTCTTTAGATCTGATATTTAATGAATGATCAAGACCATAAAAACAGTGTGGTGGTGTGAGATTCTTAATGTCTGTCAGATCCTCTCCTGTCTTGATGTGGTTCTCTCAACAGCTGCTAAGTGTAATGTTCCACACTAATATTATAATTCTTCAAGGAGAGAAATTTTTGTAACAATCAAAATTTAATTTTTGGCCCTGGCCAGTTTGCCTCAGCGGTTAGAGCGTCAGCCTGCGGTCCAGAGCGACCAGGGTTCAGTTCCTGCTAAGGGCACGTACCACGGCTGCAGTTTGTCCCTGGCGCTGGGTGGTCGTGCAGGTGGCAGCCACTCAATGTGTCCCTTTCACGTCGATGTTTCTCTCTCTCTCTCTCTCTCTCTCTCTCTCCCCTCACTATCTAAGCAAAAAATGGAAAAAATGTCCTCAGGTAAGGATTAAAAAAATTTTAATTTTTGGGTAGCAGCTTGTGAAGTAGAGCCTGGGTGGTGACCAAGGACAAAGTGAAGAAATTATATGAGCTGTCCCTACTCCTGACTGCTCTAGGGCTTGCAGATCTGTGTCTGAGACAGAAACTTCAATTTGTAGTGCCTTAGAACTTCCTTTATTTCTTTTTGTCACACACACAAAGAATGAGGATTAGATTCCTGTAGCATTAGAGCACAGTCCTGGCTGTGAAGCCTCTTCCTAGCCATATGACCTTCACCACTCTAAATTTTTATTTCTTCATCCAGAAAATGAGGGTAATAGTGATAACTACCTCATAGGTTTGATGTGAGCATTAAACATAAGACATGATACCTACAGAGTGTTTAGCTCAGTGCTTGATGGGTAGTAAGTACTGAACACATGTTCAGTTTATTAAAGGAATGAGTATTTCTGTAGTTTAAAGCCTTTGAAGATAGAAGGCATCAATGTTGGATGTGTTTTTTTCTGTCTGCCTCCATTCATTCCTACCTTTCTTGGCTGTTTAACTAATTATTTGTGTTGCTTCTCCTATCTTCATTTCTCTTGCTTTTATTTCAGGAAATCTCTAGTCTTCTTTAAGTAGTCCTAAAAATTTCCACCAGTAGCCCATCTACTTCTGAACTTAGTAGGAAAGAGTCAAGAATTACTTATTCTGTATTGTTTTACTCCTTGTGGGAGTTCTTTTTTTTTTTTATCCTCACACGAGGATATTTTTCCATTGATTTTTAGATAGAATGGAAGAGGGGGGGATGGGAGAGAGAGAGAAAGAGAGAAACATTGATGTGAGAGAGACACATTGATTGGTTGTCTCCCGAATGACAGAGAGTCCCTGGCAATCGAGTAATCTAGAGTCCCCAATAATCTTCTCTATGGATTTGCCAATTCTGGACATTTTCATTAAATGGAATCATACAATATGTGGCCTTTTGTGTTTGACTTCTTTAATTTAGTATAATGTTTTCAATGTTGATCCATGTTGTAGCATGTATCAGTGCTTCATTCCTTTTTATTGCCACATTTATTTTATTTTTAAATTTTTTCATGGTATGTGCCCCTAGCAGGAACCAAACCTCTGGTCCGCAGGTCGACCGCTGAGCCAAACTGGCTGGGGCTATTGCCACATTTATTTATCAATTCATAGTTGATAGGCATTTGAGTTCTTTCTACTTTGTGACCGTTATAAATAATGCTGCTGTGAGTATTCATATACAAGTTTTTGTGTGGGCCTATGTTTTTCTTTTGTTGTTTTTTTGTTAATCCTCACCTGAGGATATTTTTCTATTTATCATCAGATAGAGTGGGAGAGAGGGAAAAAGAGAAACATCGATGTGAGAGAGATACATTGACAAACCACAACTGAAGTATGTGCCCTTGACCACAATTGAACTCAAGGCTCATTGGTGACAGGCTGACGCTGTAACCGCTGAGCCAGGGCTATGTTTTTATTTCTTTTGAATATATCATATACCTAGGAGTGGAATGGCTGAGTCATAAGGTAACTCTTTTTTTAACTGAAAGTTCTTTTGTCATTCAATTTTCAATTCATCTAAATTTGGAAAGGTCTTAGAATCCAGTGGGCCTATCATTTTGTTCTACTTTAAAGAAAGGGGTGAAGAAAATGATCTTGCTATTGCCTGGTATCACTAGTAGGTAGGTAATCTAACCCTTCTGTGTCAACATTAATACACTAATGATACTAGCCATAAACTGAGGCTTTTATTACTGAACATAACTTCTCTTACCTGGGATTTCTGTTGTAAATGCATTGAATTAGAGTTTGGGTTGTTGTTACTAAGAGAAAACCATAGAGGTCAGTAAAGTACATTAGAGAAATAGTACCATATAGCTTTTTTTTCCTCTGAAGTTTTAATTTCACCTCTAAGAATTGTTTTGTAAGCAGAGTTTGTCTCAAACTTTTTGCAGGCTCTTATGAATTCAAAGTTTTCCAGATTTGCACTTTATCCTCCAGGGACTGTATTGTGCCACTTTTTATTGACGTGTAAAATAAGAAAAACATTAATAAAGCACTTAAGCCCTGGCCAGTTTTGCTCAGTGGTTAGAGCTTTGGCCTGCAGACTAGATAGAGAGTCCCGGGTTCAGCTCCCACTAGGAACACGTACCTTGGTTGCGGTTTGTCCCCGCCCCAGTTGGGGTCTTGAGGGTGGCAACCAGTCAGTTGATGTGTCTCTGTTGCATCAATGTTTCTCTCTCTTTCTTTCTGCCTTTCTCCCTTTTTCTCCCTCTCTCCTTCCCGCTCTATCTAAAGATAAATGCAAAAATGTCTTTGGGTGAGGATAAAAAATAATAATAAAGCACTTAATATGTGTCAGGCACTGTTGTAAGTTAATTCTGAATGAATTAGCATGAATTAGGTCCTGTCTTTATCCTCATTTTTATATGAAGGAACTGGGGCACAGATATTAAGAAAGTTGCCCTAGTTAAACAGCAAATAAATTGCTAAGTCAGGTTTCAAACGCAAGCTGTCTGATTAGTAGACCATACTGTGAGCCCTAGCCAGTGTGGCTCAGTTGGTTGAACATTGTCCTATGCACTAAAAAGTCACTGGTTTGATTCCCAGTTGGGGCACATGCCCTGTTTCTGGCTTGATCCCCAGTAGGTAGCTGGAGGTGTGCAGGAGGCAGCTGATCTATGTTTCTCTCACATCTATATTTCTCTCTCCCTCTCCCTTCCTCTCTCTGTTAAAAAAAAAAAAATTAAATAAGAATTTTATGGAAGAGTCCATATTGTGAACCACTTCTCTCTACTGCCTCTCAAGCATAATGAAAATATAAGATATTATTACTCGCTATTATTAGTTACAGTTAAGCTTTTGCTTATACAGATAGTAATCAGACTTCTGCTGAATTCTCAGAATCTACATTAGAGTAAACATAAATCTTTTAAGGAGTGGAGTAGTGAGAAGAAAACCTATGTTCCTAGCTGAGGATAGGTTCTGCTGATGACTAAGAATTCTGTCCATCTTTGTGCATCATGTGACTAACTTTTAATACTTGAAGAATCAGGGACTTTATTTTATGTTCATCATAATTGAAACCATTAATACTTAATTGTTGGTTTGGTTATTTAATTATTTTTTCACCTCACCCTCCTATCCTGTCCCCGTGGCTAAGAAGATCCATGGCAAAGTTTATTAATTAAAAGTAATATTATTTGTGCCTAGCCATTGTGATTCAGTGATTGAACATCAGCCCATGCACCAAGAGGTTGCCGGTTCAATTCCTGGTCAGGGCACATGCCCAGGTTGTGGGTCTGATCCCCAGTGCGGGGGCGTACAGGAAGAAGCCAATCAGTATTCCCACTCATAGATGTTTCTATCTTTCCCTCTCTCCCTTCCTCTCTCTCTCAAATCAATAAAGAAAAAAATTAAGAGTAATATTATTTTTAATTTTTGCAACAATTGGAGGGGTTCTAGGACCATATAGGATCAGTATTGGGAGTCTCTAGTTGGTTCTCAGTTTTCTCTTCTTGCTTTAGGAAGAAAAGTGGGGTGGAGTATTGGGAGTTGGTTTGCCTTAAAAAATATATCCTTAGGGGTAAACATGTGGAAGAATACTTGAATCCTCTCTGTGATTTTGATAGTTTCAGTTAAATGGGAATGAGTTACAGGGAATTAAAAGATAGTGGAGAGATCTGACCGGTTACTCCTTCATTCTACAGTTGGCTCAAATACCTGTGTTGATGACCATGCAGGAAAAATATCCAAGTGAGAGAAACTCTCATGCTACTTCACCTGGTGAGTAGTCAAAAATTTCTGGGTAAATTCTGACCTTTGCTCTGTTATTTCATAACAGAAATTTCCTTTACAGGACATACTGAGCATGCTAGCATTCACTGAGATGCTGGTATTAAAGGAGTAAAAATAACATGGGGCTACATTGAATAGAAAAAGAGATTTCTCCAAGAGAACAGCTGTTTATCTCTGGTCCTACATGGCTTCCAACAAGACCACGTGACTGATTGAGAGGAGAGGACACATAAAGGATTGGAACAGAATGACTTTTAACATAGTTCTATTTGAAATCAGAAATACACAGCATAAATTACTGTGTTCTGTGTTGTCTTTGTAGTCCTGTGGGTGGGTCAGTCATCTGCTAGCCTACAAAGATTGGAATTCTTCTTGAATGCCAACAGTCTCAGTTGTATTGTCACTGGAGACTCAGGAATTATCTCTAGAATGATTTGACAAGATTTTAAAAGCTCAGTAGATATACTAAAATGATAGATTAAGTATATATATTTAAATATATACATACTCAATACACACTAAATAGATAATATACATTTAAATAGGAAGTAGCATTTTAGAAATAACTTTTTTAATTCTGTGGTATTTATGAGGAAAAGGATACATTTTATTCAGTTAAGGGTATGTTTTATTTAACTTTAAAATCCCACAGTGCCTTAAAGCAGACATTTGGTAGATATTTGTTCTATTCTCCTAGGCACACTGACTTGCATTTGAGTAGGCAATTTGAAAAACATTTGCTGAATCAGTGTAAGATTCACTCAGCAAATATTTCGACATCTGTTATGTGCCATGCACTGTCTCAGGGCTGGCTTATACAATTTCTTATGGCAATTGTCTGTATAATGCAAATTTTTGGAATGTAGCAACTCCTAACAAAGCTCAGCTGCTTTTTTATGGCTTTGTCTTCAGTAGTCTTTCATTTGATTAATAATGGTTTAATGTCTGATAAGGATGCTACTGATAAGACATGTGACATAACACAAGAAAATTTCAGCTTTCAAACTTGAATTTTGAAATAAGCATTAGCTTCTATAACTGTATCAGAACATACTTTTTTTTTTTTTTTTTTTTTAGTCCTCACCTGAGGACATTTTTCCATTTTTTGTTCAGATAGAGTGGGAGGGAGGGAGGGAGAGAGAGAGAAAGAGAAACATCGACGTGAAAGGACACATCGAATGGCTGCTACCCGCACGACCCAACCAGGGCCCAGGACAGACAAACTGCAACCGAGGTACATGCCCTTAGCGGGAACTGAACCCAGGTCTCTGGACTGCAGGCCAATGCTCTAACCACTGAGCAAAACTGGCCAAGGCCCAAAACATACTTTTATTTGAGCAAATATATCTTTGGAATTGATGTGTGCAGTGGGTGCATAGAATAAACAGTAGTGAAGAATGGAAGATTAGTAGTAGTAACAGGGAATGGTTTCCAGGAGGAGGCCAGGAACATGGTAATACAGGTCCTGAATCAATTTTCACTATTTCAAAATGCTTGGCAAATTATACACTGACTAGAAAGAGAATGCTGTATAAACTCACCAGGAGGTCAGATTTCTTTGCTTTTGGCTAGAATTTTACTAATTTAGTATAGTTAATACTGGCTAACCTAATGCTGACCAGAAGCTCTGATTGTTGGCTATGTCTTTTATTAAAGATAATTACAGCCCTGGCCATTGTGGCTCAGTTGGTTGGAGTGTTTTGCCCCATATACCAAAAGGTGGCGGGTTCAATTCCAGATCAGGGCACATGCCCAGGTTGTGGGTTTGATTTTCACTATCAAATCACATACAGGAGGGGCACATACAGAAGGCAACCAATTGGTATTTCTCACATTCATGTTTCTCTCTCTCTCCCTGTTCCGAACTCTCTAAAAAGAAAATCAATTAAATATTTAAAAAGAAAATCAAGCCCTGACTGGTTTTCTCAGTGGTTAGAGCGTCAGCCTGCAGTCTGGAGAGACCCAGGTTTGGTTCCCGCTAAGGGCACGTACCTCGGTTGCAGTTTGTCCCCGGCCCTGGTTGGGTCGTGTGGGTGGCAATCACTCGATGTTTCTCTCTCTCCCCCACCCACTCTATCTGAACAAAATATCGAAAAATGTTCTCGGGTAAGGATAAAAAAATAAAATAAAATACTGTAAAAGATTATTATAGCCCTGGCCAGTTTTGCTCAGTGGTTAGAGCATCGGCCTGCGGTCCAGAGAGACCCTGCTAAGGGCATGTACCTCATTTGCAGTTTGTCCTTGACCCTGGTTGGGTCAGGGCCCCATTGGAGGCAGCCACTTGATTGTCTCTTTCATGTCGATGTTTCTCTCTTCCTCTCTCTCCCTCCCACTCTATGTGAACAAAAAATGGAAAAATGTCCTCGTGTTAGGATAAAACAAAGAATCAACCAATGAATGCATAAATAAGTGGAATAACTCAATCTCTCTTTCTCTCAAATCAATCAGTAAATCTTTTTTTTTTTTAGGGGGAGAGAGATAGAAACATTGATGAGAGATAACATCAAGTGGCTGCCTCCTGCATGCCCCCACTGTGGATCAGGCCCACAACCCCCACAACCTGGGTTTGTGCCCTGACCAGAAATCAAACCAGCGACCTTGGTGCATGGGTCGACACTCAACCACTGAGCCACACTGGCCAGGCTAAAAATTTTTTTTAATAAAAAAAATAATTTAGCCCTGGCCGGTTTGGCTCAGCGGTTGGAGCGTCGGCCTGCGGTACAGAGAGACCCGGGTTCGGTTCCCACTAAGGGCATGTACCTCGGTTGCAGTTTGTCCCTGGCCCTGGTTGGTCGTGCGGGTGGCAGCCACTCGATGTGTCCCTTCACATCGATGTTTCTCTCTCTCTCTTCCTCTCTCCCCCTCCCACTCTACCTGAACAAAAAAAAATGGAAAAATGTCCTCGGGTGAGGATAAAAAAATAAAAATAAATAAATAAAATAATAATAATTTAAGTCTTTGCTAGTACATTAATACATCAAGTATTTCTTGAACACTTCCTACCTACCAGCCTCTAAACAGCAAGATAATAAAGTCAAATAAATTTCATCAGTCTTATATCTTACCCACTCAGAAATTTCAGAAATAGGGTGAGGGCTTGCTGCTGGCATTTAGTGGATGGGGACCAGGGATGCTAAACCATCCTGCAATGTATAGACTGTACATTGAAGAATTGTCTTGCCTAGAATATTAAAAGTACTCGTTGAGAAATCTTGTAAGAGGAACGAATGTGGGTATTGGGATTAGAACAACCTGGGTTCAAGTCTCAGCTCTATCTGTAACATAGGGCTGTTAACATGACAATACTTTTCAGTAAGTAGGTAGATAAGTCATGTCTGTAAAGTGCTGTGGCTTCTAGGTTTCAGAAAATGGTAGCTGCTATTAAATATTACTGTTTTCTGTCTCAGTATTCCTGAATTCTTGGTAGCTCTTGGTTCTGTCTTTGAACATTCTCACCTCTCATGCTATTTCCATTTAAAATTAACAAACTCAGAGTTGCTGAAATAGGCACAGGAGAAAGGGGTAGGGGCTTCTATGTCTTCATAGGTTTAAGTGAATTTTTAAAAATAGCAAATGCCACTTGTTTCAGGTTCCAGTGTGATTCAGAAAAGCAGTACTCTTGGTTGTGAATGGCAGACCCCAGTTATCTCGGAGGCCTTTCGGAGCCGCTTCAGCCGCTGCTCAAGTGTTACTGACAGTGGGGACACAGCCATTGGCACATCGTGCTCAGACATGGCTGAGGGTAAGTTTGGGTTAATGATATGATTACCAATATGTATTGTCATTTTCAGATTGTGTTCCAGGTGTATTGTCATTTGCAGAATATTCCTAAATCAGTTCACTCAGAAAGGAGTCTGCTTGATTCTTCTTACTCCCTGCTTCTCGCAACTGGTCCCTTCCTCTCAGTTTCTGCTGATTGTCCTATCCCGAACAACTTTCTAGTCTTTCCTCAAATCTTTCCTTCTACTGCCAGATTAATCTTTCTAAAAGCCTGTTTTCAGCCCTGGCCAGTTTGGCTCAGCGATTAGAGCGTCAGCCCGCAGACCAAAGAGTCGTGGGTTCGATTCCAGTCAAGGGCATGTACCTTAGTTTCAGTTCATTCCCCGGCCCTGGTCGGGGTCATGTGGGAGACAGCCAATCAATGTGTCTCTCTTACGTGGACGTTTCTTTTCCCACCCCCACTCTATCTGAAGATAAAAGGAAAAAAAGTGTCCTCAGGTGAGGATTTTAAAAATAAATAAATAAAAGCCTGTTTTCATAATTTCCCTTTTCTGCAATTCTCAATTATTTTTATTTACAGGATAAAATTCTGAGTCCTCAGTTCTCTTGTGATCTGGCCCTGTCCCACCTTTTTATTTATTTTTAAAATATGTTTTTATTGATTTTTTTGTTGTTTTTTTTTTTGTTCAAATAGAGTGGGAGGGTGAGAGAGAGAGAAAGAGAAACATCGACGTGAAAGGGACACATCAAGTGGTTGCTACCCACACGACCCAACCAGGGCCGGGGACAAACTGCAACCGAGGTACATGCCCTTAGCAGGAATCGAACCCGGGTCTCTCTGGACCGCAGGCAATGTTCTAACCGCTGAGCCAAACCGGCCAGGGCTGTTTTTATTGATTTTTAAGGGAGAGAGAGATAGAAATATCAATGTGAGAGATAAACATTGATCTGCAGCCTCCTGCACGTCCCCGCAATGGGTGTTGAGCCCACAACCCAGGCATGCGCCCCAACTGGGAATTGAACTGGTCTTGGATTCAGTTCCTGGTCAAGGGTATATACCTGGGGTATAGGTTCAATCCCCAGTCCTGGTCAGGATGGTGCAGGAGGCAATAAATCAATGTGTCTCTCTTGCATGGATGTTTCTTGTCCCTTTCCCTCTCCCTCTCCCCTTGCCACTCTATCTAAAAATCAATGGAAAAATATCCTCAGGTAAGCCCTGGCCGGTTTTGCTCAGCGGTTAGAGCATCAGCCTGCGATCCAGAGAGACCCAGGTTCAGTTCTCGCTAAGGGCGCGTACCTCGGTTGCAGTTTGTCCCTGGCCCTGGATGGGTTGTGCGGGTGGCAACCACAGGATGTGTCCCTTTCACATCGATGTTTCTCTCTCTCTCTCTCTCCCTCTCCCTCCCTCCCACTCTATCTCTTTCTCTCTTCCTCTTTCTCCCTCCCTTCCTCTCTCTCCCTCCCACTCTAGCTGAACAAAAAATGTAAAAATGTCCTCGGGTAAGGATAAAAAAATATATTTATATATATCCTCGGGTGAGGATTTAAAAATATATATATATTTCTTACTGTTACCAGGTCTCTTATTTTACTATGCTATAAAGTGAAGAACTTTTTAAAAATACCTGAGCTTCTTTAATCTGAGCCCATTTTCATTGTTCCACCTCCTTTTGCTCCTCCCAGCTATGATGGTCTTATTTAGTGAAGTGTTTGACAAGACTTCTCCCATCCCTTCCACCCATTATTGATCTTCCTCTTTACAACTTTACATCTTTATTGTTTCTGCCCCTTATTTTTGCACTTAAAATTAAGTGATAACTATCAGCAGTACTTTACAAGTATATTTTATTTTTCATTTAGGTGGTAAGTTCCTAGTGGGCAGAGGACCTAATGATAATTAATTAATTACTATTTATTAAATACTTTGTGATGGATACTGCACTAAATTTTTGAAATGTTTTTTCATTAATGCCTTTAGGAAATCTCTGAAATATTTTTATTTTACAGATGAGAACACTGAATTTCAAAGTGTTTCAAGTTAGTTGATTAAAGTCACAAAACTAGTCACTTTGGTACTTTAACAGATGTGACACCCACTATGATTAAAAAGATAGTAAAAAGGGTTGGTGCCCGACTGGTGTGGCTCAGTGGTTGAGCATTGATCCATGCACCAAGAGGTCACTGGTTTGATTCCTGGTCAGGGCATATGCCCAGGTTGTGGGCCAAATCCCATGTGGGGCACGCAAGAGGTGGCCAATCTATGTTCTCTCTCATCGATGTTTCTATCTCTCTCTCCCTATCCCTTCCTCTCTCTAAAATCAATAAAGAAAAGAAATTTTTTTTAAGGTATTGGTGATCAAAAAGATAATAACAAGTGTTGGTGAGAATGTAGGTTTTGAAATAGACAGGACTTTTTTGAAATATGTTTTATTGATTTTTTTTTTTTTAGAGAGAGAGATAGAAACATCAATGTGAGAGAGATACATTGATTGGCTGCCTCCTACACGCCCCCCACTGGGAATCAAGCCTGCAACTTGGGCATGTGCTCCGACTGGGAATCAAGCTGGGACCTCTCAGTCCATGGGATGACACTCAATCCACTGAGCTACACCAGCCGGGCTAGACAGGACTTTAAAAATGACTTAATTCGGTTCCTTTTTGCTGGTGAATAATAACAGTTCCCCAAGGGGTTAAGTAATTAACTTGCCTGGTATCACACTACTAGTTATCAGATTTGGGTACCCCAATTGTATTTCCATCACTTGTATGATTAAAAGTGTTATTGTTAAAGTTTTGTCAACATGTACAATTATGGGACCTTTTTTTTAAATCCTTACCTGAGCGCATTTTTGCATTTATCTTCAGATAGAGCAGGAGGGAGAGAGAGAGGAAGAGAGAGACATATCAAGTGGTTGCCATCCACAGAACCCCAACCGGGGCCAGGGACAAACTGCAACCAAGGTACATGCCCTTAGCGGGAACCAAACCCAGGCCTCTCTGGCCCATAGGCTGATGCTCTAACCACTGAGCAAAACTGGCCAGGGCCAATTTTTTTTTCTTTATTAATTTTTTTTTTTTTTTGAGAGTGAGGAAGGGAGAGGGAGAAAGAGACAGAAACATCAATGAGAGAGAACATCGATTGGCCGCCTTCTGCATGCCCCCACTGGGGATCAGGCCCACAAACTGGTCATATGCCCTGACCTGGAATCGAACCAGTGACCTCTTGGTGCATGGGTCGATGCTCAACCACTGAGCCACACCAGCTGGGCTGGGTCCTTTTTCATTTTGACTAAATGTCTTTTTTAAAAAAAAAAATCAAACAATGGTCTAGATTTCCCCCCCAATTGAATTAACTAGCTGTATTGAATTCAGTCAAATTGTAACACAAATTGTGTGTGTGACTGTGTGCTTTATATTTCTTTAGGGAACTACATATATTTTCTTTGTAGTGCATTCTTTTAAAATTGTAGTAACCTTGATGCAGTAGCCAAAGCCATTGGTCTAGAAGTTTTTTAAAGACTCCAAGATGGGCCTGGCCGGTTTGGCACAGCAGTTAGAGCATTGGCCCATGGACCAAAGAGTCGAAGGTTCAATTCCATCAAGGATGCGTGCCTTGGTTGCAGTTTGTCCCCAGCCCTGGTTGGGTCGTGTGGGTGGCAACCACTCGATATGTCCCTTTCACGTCGATGTTTCTCTCTCTCTCTCTCCCCCCCTCCCACTCTATCTGGACACACACATCGAGTGGTTGCTACCCACACAACCCCAACCGGGGCCAGGGGCAAACTGCAACCAAGGTACGTGCCCTTAGCGGGAATCAAACCCAGGTCTCTCTGGTTGGTGGGCCGACGCTCTAACCTCTGAGCCAAACCTGCCAGGGCTTGCCTATGTTTTTAAAAAGCTGCTTACAAATTCATATGAGAAGATGGTAGTTCATCTTTACTCATATAATTCTAGGAAAGGTTATAGTATATGTCCTCAATAGCTGAGTGTGTTCTGTGTTGGTTGATAGAAAGAAAAAAGAGAAACAGATTGGTAATCCACTCTTTTTATGGTAGATGTCCCTGGTTTGGAAAAGAGCACTGGATATAATTGAAAAGGGAAGACATCTATATTTCTTGTCCCCTTACTTAGTTTCTGCCTGTCGAAGGGTAACAGGTACTTTTTCTTACTTGTTTGCTTGCCGCGCACTACTCTGGCATGTTAGTTCTGTGACCTTATAGTTTTCAGAGTAGCACTTGAAAGTTGGAAATATGTAGAAATATGAACCTTCTGCGGCAGGGCTAATAAGAGAATTGTCTCCCAAGACTAGGAAGGAGATAAAAGGGGAAAAAATCACAGTTGGATACAAACAATGGGGTAAGTGAAAGGCAAGCTATAAAACAGTAAATTTTAGTGTGTACCCACTTGAGAGTGCTCACTGTGCTAGAGTGAAACCTGAGAGTTACTAAGAATAACTTCACATATCCAGGCAGTCACTTCTGGTGTGTGGGAGAGAGAACAGAATCCTGATTCAGATGCTGTACTCCCTGCCTTGGATACAGAGCAGCACTATCCAGTTTGCCTTATTCTTCAGATAGTTTAGACTCATTGCTCATCTTTGCCGGGGAGTTGTTGGATATCACAGAGAATTCTTGCAGACCTTGAAAGGATATTTTTATTAGATTGGATTATAGCTTAGAGTTACCCAGGTCCCAGAAGAGTAGGACCTAATCCATTTCCCTTAAGTAAGTGATTTTTTTTAAGTTCAGTTTTCAGCTTTGTTTGTTGACTGGCAAGACTTTTATTAAAATACAAGGGACAGAGTGTAAGTTGAAAATGAAGCCAGTGTTGCCTTTTGTTGTGAATGGCATTGAGACCCTAAAACAGACATCTCCCAAATTAGGCTGTCTGCTTGATATTTGTGATGATAGTGCCCCCTCTCTCTGGTCTCAGGATAGGCAAAGAACACCTGACATAGCAGCTAAACTCGAGAGCTTGCTGCTTCAGTTTTGACTTATGGATGACTATTCTCTCCACAGATTTTTGCAGCTCAAATAGCAGTCCTTCTTTCCAGCCCATCAAAAGCCACATAACCATTCCAACAGCCCATGTGATGCCTTCTACTTTGGGGACCTCTCCTGCCAAGCCGAATTCTACACCTCCCGGACCCTCTTCCTCCAAAATCCCTTTGTCAGGGTTGACTGAAAGTGTGGGGATGACAAGAAATGGAGACCTCGGTGCAATGAAGCGTTCTCCGGGCCTATCTAGAGATTTCATGTATCTTTGTGGTGCTGCTGGAGAAAATGGAATTGAGCAGTCTTGGTTTCCAGCAGTGGGCCATGAAAGAGAAGAAGAGATGAGGAAGTTTGATATTCCCAGTGTGGAGTCTACCCTCAATCAGTCGACAATGATGGACACACTTTATTCAGATCCTCGCTACAGAGTACACTTCCACAACCTAAGAACCGACCCGAACAAGGAGTTATACAAAGTGTTGCCTGAGACCAAGAAGGCACCAGGCAGTGGAGTGGGATGTGAGCGGAATGGACTACACCCTAGCAGCAGTGGGTTGCTTCCTTTGGGACTCCAGCCTGCTCCTGGGCTCTCCAAGCCTCTGCCCTCTCAGGTGTGGCAGCCAAATTCTGACCCTTGGCATCCCCCAGAGCGATCTTGTGAGCTGAGCACTTGTCGGCAGCATCTGGAGTTGATTCGTTTACAGATGGAGCAAATGCAGGTAGATGCCTTTCTTCCCTTGGATTTTTTAGGTTCTGTGCAAATATTTGAACTGTATAGGTTTTGTCTTATAAATTTTGACTCTAAAGAAAATGTTTGTAAAGAGGAGGGAAGATGTTTATAAATAGGAAATGAAGGCTCGTGAATGCTATCGAATCTGTTGATGGTCTAATTAAGCACCAGATAAGTTCTCCAAAGTAGAGGGTTACAAGGGAATACCCCAAAAAGTCACTAGGCTAGATACATACAGAATCTTATTTAATCCTTATAGCACCATGATGAGGTATTTGTAGATATTTACCAGATTCTTAGAATAAGTAATCTGTGCAGGGTCACAAAGCTGTTTAAGTGACAGAGCTAGGGTTTAAAAACTATCTTTGGACCCTTGTGCTTTTTCCACTATACCAGTTTTGTGTTTGAAAAAAAAAAAAGTCCTTGTGCTGCTTAAGAATGGGAAGGAAAATGCTGCTTCTGGCTTCTTGAGAGATCACAACCTTCTGTAGAGAATCTGAAAAGCCTCAAATAATGAAGTTCTACAATTTTCTATTTGGTATTCTCCAAAGAAAATGCCTGTTTGCAGGGATTTAGAAAGAGGAAGAGAGAGGGAGAGCCAAAGAAAAATCAACATGAGAAAGACACATCGATTGGTTGCCTTCCACACACACCCCAACGGGGATCAAACCTACAACCTGGATACATGCTGTACCGGCAATCTAACTGGTGACCTCTTTCAGTGTACAAGACAGTGCTCAACTAACTAAGCCACACTGGCCAGGGCAATGCCTGTAGTTTTATCCTATCATATATTCTTGGCTTTTAAGTGATAAATCTATAAAATTCAATAAAGCTTCCTTAGAGTCAAAAAAAAAAAAGAATGGAAAGGAAAGAAGAAGCTGGACATATTACTATTTTCCTGGTTGTTGAGGACATCTTAGCTCTTGTTTTGCCTCTGTTGCCAGATAATGAATGATAATTGACCTTTTCTTAGAAACTAGAGCCTTTCTGAGCTGTATCCAGTTGGCAGAAGTCTCCCTGGCAGGTTCTTTCCAGTCATGCATCAGAGCTAAAATTATTTCATAAACACTGGGCCTTCTTAGTCTGAGCCAAAGTGAGCCTTGACTACAGACTCAGCCGGTACTGCTCAGGTGTTTTCAGGTGCCTGTGGATCAAGATCAAGCCCCTTTGGATCTGCTTGTCTTTCAGCTTCAGAATGGAGCCACCTTCCACCATCCCACTTCTTTTGCTCCCTCACTGCCCATGTTAGAACCAGCACAGTGGATCAGCATCTTAAACAGTAATGAACACCTTCTGAAGGAAAAGGAACTCCTCATTGACAAGTAAGAAAGCAAAGGGTACCATAAGGCCAGTTTCTGTTTTCCCAGCCCCAACTGAGGACACCTAATGAAGTCTCCTCAAAGGTAGTACATTCCCCTCTGTTTAGGCTCACTACTTGCCTCATGGTAGAGCTAGGTTGATAAGCAGCCTAGTCCTGTGGCTGACTAATATGAAAGACCAGTTGTGTGTCTGCAGGGGCTCTGAGGAGAGCCTAAAGGGGGCAGCCGTTCTTTGCAGCTGATCTTTCCTTATTTCCCCCCAGTCAGCTTTCTCATTGTTCCTCCTCCAGCAAAACAGTACTACCCAGAATCCTAGGTCCTTGCTTATATAGTATGGATTATACTCATCTAAGGAAAGGGGGGGCTTATATTTGTAAGTGGGTTAGTGTTAGAATCCCGGACCCCATTCTACTGGCTTTTGCAGGCAGAGGAAACACATATCTCAGCTGGAGCAGAAAGTTCGAGAGAGTGAACTACAAGTCCACAGTGCTCTTTTGGGCCGCCCTGCCCCCTTTGGAGATGTCTGTTTGCTGAGGCTACAGGTAAGCATTGGCAGCTGTGTTGGCATTATGCTTGTCATAATTCACTATCTTTTCTGTCTCTGCTTGGCACTGTTAGGTATCCAGGAGATGTATGGTGTCCTTGCCCTTAAAGAATAAGCTTCCTAATTATTAAGCATCCCTTGTCCTGCCTTTGTAGGGCAGAAAAGGCTTGAGGGTAAAATCAGATGGAAGTCCAGATGCTTTGGTGTCAGGAGATACTTGGGAGAAATGGAAGGCAGAGCAGGGTACATTGTAAGGTCCTAGAGTTGGGTGATGTTCTGAGAAGTCTTAATCTACCAGCCCTGGTCAAATGGAAGGAGAAGCAGATATAATAAGCCATTTTAATTTTTATCTTCCATGTCTGGGAGCAACTAAAGGAAACCATATTCTCACTGAGGTCAGTAGCTCTAGAAGAGTCCTGCTTTGTTGACCAAGCTTCTCTGCAATTTGGGCTTTTGAGTGATGGATATAGACATATAGTACTGGCTTTGCCACCTAGTAGACTTGTTAAAACTGTTCCGTCTTAATAGAATCAGGTTGTTAGAGCGAGAAGGGCCCTGAGATAAAAATCTAATTTAGTTATATAACTTTTGAAAAAATTGAGGCCCCCAAGAAGGAGGAGGAACTTCCCTAAGATCCTATAGAGAAAAGAGTGGAGGAGAGCCAGACCTTAAGCCAAGGTCTTCTGATGTCTTGTCCTGTGTTCCTTCCATTATACTACAGCTCCTCAGGTTTGCTTTAATGGCAAATGTGCATGTGCATCAGAATCACCTGGAGGGCTTTTTAAAAGATTTTTTTATTGATCTCTAGAGAGGTAAGAAGGGGGAGAGTGAGAAAGAGAAACATAGATCAACTGCCTCCTGCACTCCCCCTACTAGGGACTGAGCCTGCAATTCAGGCATGTGCTCTGATCAGGAATTGAACTGGTGACCTTTTGTGTTTGGGATGACACTCAACCAACTGAGCCACACCAGCCAGGGCCCTGCAGGGCTTTTTAAAACCCATATTGTTGCCCTGGCCGGTTTGGCTCAGCAGTTAGAGAGTCAGCCTGCAGACTAGAGAGTCCCAGGTTCGGTTCCCACTAAGGGCACGTACCTTGGTTGCAGTTTGTCCCTGGCCCAGTTGGGGTTGTATGAGTGGAGACCAGTCGATGTGTCTGTGTGTCTGTCTGTCTGTCTCTCTCTCTCATCGATGTTTCTCTCTCTCCCCCTCCCTCTCTCCCGCTCTATCTGAAAACAAATGCAAAAAAATGTCCTTGGGTGAGAATTAAAAAATAAAATCCAGAGCCCTGGCCGGTTTGGCTCAGCAGTTAGAGTGTCGGTCCAGAGAGGCCCGGGTTCGGTTCCCGCTGAAGGTATGTGCCTCCGTTGTAGTTTGTCCCCGGCCCTGGTTGGGTTGAGCGGGAGGCAGCCACTCGATGTGTCCCTTTCACATCAATGTTTCTCTCTTCCTCTCTCTCTCTCTCTCATTCTGTCTGAACAAAAAAATGGACAAATGTCCTCAGGTGAGGATAAGAAAGAAAGAGAGAGAGAGAGAGAAGAGAGCACGAGCGAGCCCAGATTGTTAAGACCCAACTCCAGAGTTTCTGATTCAGTGGGCCTGGGAATTGGGCTCAAGAATGTGCATTTCTAACAGATTCCCAGGTGATACTGATGCTGTTAGTCCTAGGACCACATTTTGAGAAGCTCTGCTTGAAATTTTCAGAGAAAGCTGATATTTGACCATGAGATCTGCTGGGATAAGTAAAGTACATGGGACTGTAAGAGGAAAGAATAGATATATTGAGAATCTTTCTGCAGGAATTGCAGCGAGAGAACACTTTCTTACGTGCACAATTTGCACAGAAGACAGAAGCCTTGAACAAAGAAAAGATCGAGCTTGAAAGGAAACTCTCTGCTTCAGAAGTTGAAGTCCAGCTCATCAGAGAGTCACTCAAAGTGGCGTTGCAGAAACATTCAGAGGAGGGGAAGAAACAGGAAGAAAGGGTAAGCTAAGGAGCTAATTGCTCTCTTAATTCACAAATGAGTTGACAGTCAACTCTCTCCTGCCAAACTCTATGTGGTTTCTGGCCCCCATTCTTAGAACCATCCAATTGGGTCAGACCCTACATTAACTCCTCTTGCAGGACTGGTTTGCTAGAAATGGAACTCCTTTCTGTTTCATCTCCACAAAACTACCACAGTATAAACCCTCACTGCCCCAGGTTGTGGTGGGCCACCAGCTGGCCTGGGTAGAAAACTAGCCTGAGCAGTCATACCAGATGGTACTGTTGGAAGATGTTTAAATACCTATGGTAAATTTACACCATTCAGCCTGGTTTCTCCACTCTACCTAAAAAAAGAGAATTCTATGGGTACAGTCAGCTTGGGAGTGTTTACATTTTTGCCAGTGCTCTTAAAATTGCATTTGGGCCCTGGCCAGCTTGTCTCAATGGTTAGAGAGTCGGCCCATGGACCAAAGAGTCATGAGTTCGATTCTGGTCAAGGGCACGTGCTTCAGTTGCGGTTTGGTCCCCAGGCCTGAGCCTAATCATGCGGGAAGCAACCAATTGATGTCTTTCTCACATTGATGTTTCTTTCTCCGCCCCCTTGCCCAGCTCTATCTGAAGATAAATGGAAAAATATCCTTGGGTAAGGATTTAAAAAATAATTGCCTTTGGCCCAGCTGGTGTGGCTCAGTGGTTGAGCATCGACATGCACCAAGAGGTCGCAGGTTCAATTTCCAGTCAGGGCACATGCCCAGGTTGTGGGCCTGATCCCCAGTGGGGGGCATGCAGGAGGCGGCCAGTCGATGTTCTTTCTCATTGATGTTTCTAACTCTCTCCTCCCTTTCTCTCTCTCTAAAATCAATAAAGAAAAATTATAAATAAATAAATAAAATTGCCTTTGGTTGAGCTTGGTCATCATAGAAGGAGCTGATTTAAAAATCTTTGGTTCTGTTTAGAGCCTGCTCTAATGTAGATGTTCTTGGGGACCAATTTAGTAATGTTTAATTCTGGACCACTTGTATTAAAATCAGCTAGAACAGTGCATCTTAAACTTGAATGTCACTTAAGAGTCACTTGGAGTTAGAGTAGACTGAGAGTTGAGTCAGGTATAGGGTTAGTTTTAGGGTTAAGTTTAGGTTAAGGTTTCAAGTTAGGTTTAGGATTGAGATTATGTATAGACTTAGAGTTAGCTTGGGCTAAGTTTAGGGTTATGGTTGAGGTTAGGTACAGGGTTAAGTTACCAATAGGATTAAGGTAAGATTTAGGATGAAGGTTAGGTATAGGATTGAGGTTAAGTTCCAGGGATAGGGTTAGGGTTAGCGTTAAGGATGGGTTTCGGTTTGAATTTAGGTGTAGAGTTAGTGTTGGGATTAGTTTTAGGGTTGAGGTTAGGTATATTGGTAGGGTTAATGTTAGAGTTAGGTTAAGGATAAGGTTAAGATACAGATTTTGGGTTAGTGTTATAGAGAGGGTTAAGTATGTTATTACTAGGGTTAAAGTTAGGTATGAAAGTGAGTATAGGGTTGAGGTTAGGTATAGTGTTAGGTATGGCATTAGGTTTTGAGTTAGAGTTAGGGTTGAGTTTGGTATAGGGTTTGGGTTATAAAAAGGGTTAGATATAGTATTAGGGTACGGATAGGGTCCAGGTTAGGGTTGAAAAATAGTGTAGGGTTATGTTTCTAGTGAAAGTTAGTGATAGAGAGTTGAGTTAGGTTTGTTAGTTGTTAGGATTAGTGTTGGAGATAGATACAAGTTTGAATGAGGATTTTGGTTAAGGTTAGGGTTATAGAGAAGGTTTTATATAAAGCTGGGGTTAGGATTAGGTTTAAGACTAGTTATATTGACCAGCCACTGTGGCTCAGGGGTTGAGCGTTGACCATGCACCAAGAGGTCACTGGTTCGATTCCCCGTCAGGGCACATACCCAGGTTGTGGGCCAAACCCTCAGTGGGGGGCATGCTGGAGGCAACCACTCAATATTCTTATCAATGTTTCTGTCTCTCTCCCTTTCCCTTCCTCTCTCTCTAAAAATCAATAAAGGAAAAAAAAAAGATTAGGTATATTGCCCTGGCCATGATGCAGTGGTTAAAGCATCAGCCCAGCCCTGGCCGGTTTCGCTCAGTGGTTAGAGCATTGGCCTGTGGTCTGGAGAGACCTGGGTTCGGTTCCCGCTAAGGGCACGTACCTCAGTTGCAGTTTGTCCCCGGCCCTGGTTGGCTCATGTGGGTGGCAACCACTCGATGTGTCCCTTTCACATCGATGTTTCTCTCTCTCTCTCTCCCTCGCTCTCTCTCTCTTTCCCTCCTTCCCACTCTATCTGAACAAAATATGGAAAAATGTGTGAGGATTAAAAAAAAAAAGGCGTCAGCCGTGGGTTCACTTTCAGTCTAGGGCACGTACCTTGGTTGCTGCTTGGTCCCTGGCCCTGGCCGGGGTCATTTAGGAGGCATCCAATCGATGAGTGTCTCTCACATCTCTCTCTCTCTCTCTCTCCCTCCCTCCCTCTCTCCCATTCTTTCTGAAGATTATCCTCGGTTGAAGATGAAAAAAAAAATAGATTAGTTATATAGTTTTTTGTTTGTTTTTAAAATATGTTTTTATTGATTTTAGAAAGAGAGGAAGGGAGAGAGATAGAAACATCGATGTGAGAGAGAAGCATCGATTGACTACCTCCTGCACACCCCCTACTGGGGATGGAGCCCACAACCCGGGCATGTGCCCTGACAGGTAATCAAACCTGGATCTCTAAGTCCATGGGACAATGCTCAATCCACTGAGCCATACCGGCCAGGCTAGATTTGGTATATTGTTAGCATTAATGTTATCGTTATGGTTAGGGTGAATTTTAGGTATGGAGTTACTGTTAGGATTAGGTCAGGATTGGGGTTGTGCTTAAGTATAGGTTTAGGGTTAGTGTAGAGTTAGGGTTAGTGTTGGGGTTAGGCATCTGGTTAGGTTTTGTGTTAGCTTTTGGGTTAGAGTTAGGGATAAGATTGAGTTTGGTGCCTGGCCAGTGTGGATTGAGTGTCATCTCATGGACTGAGAGGTCCAGGTTTGATTACTGGTCAGGGCACATGCCTAGGTTATAGACTCGATCCCCAGTAGGGGGCTGCAGAAGGCAGCCAGTCGATGTTTCTCTTTCATATTGATGTTTCTCTCTCTCCCCTCCTCTCTCACTAAAAAAAAATAAAAAAACATTTTAGAAAAAGATTGAGTTTGGTGTAGGGTTAGTTTTAGGGTTAGGGATGAGTTTAGGTATAAAGTTAGGGTTTCGCTTAGTGGCAGAAGTTAGTTTAGTGTTTGGGTTAGGGTTTAGTATTACGATTATCAAGAGAGATTGGTATAATTTAGGGTTAGGGTTAAGATTAAGGTTAGATTTAGAGTTTAGGTTAGGGATAGGAAAAATAAAAAAGAATTACTTGGAGCCCTATTTTGTGTTGCTTGGTGGTTAGAGTGTCTGCCTACACACCAGAGGGTCACAGGTTCAGTTTCTGGTCAAGGGCACATACCTGAGTTGCAGGTTTGCTCCCTAGCTCTAGTTGGGGCTCCTGTGGGAGGCAACCACTGGGTGTGCCTCTCTCACATTAATGTTTCTGTACCCCATGCCCCTCCTCCCTCCCCTTCCATTCTCTCTTTTAAAAAAAAGATTTGGATATCTTGTTAAAAATGCAGGAGAACCCCTGGCCGGTTTGGCTCAGCGGTTAGAGCGTCCGCCTGCGGTCCGGAGAGACCCGGGTTCGGTTCCCGCTAAGGGCATGTACCTCGGTTGCAGTTTGTCCCTGGCCCTGGTTGGTCGTGCGGGTGGCAGCCACTCGATGTGGCCCTTTCACATCGATGTTTCCCTCTCTCTCTCCCCCTCTCTCTCCCTCCCACTCTGTCTGTACAAAAAATGGAAAAATGTCCTTGGATGAGGATTAAAAAAAAAAAAAAAATGCAGGAGAAGGAGGGGGAGATAAACCACAGAACTTATATATATGTATGTATGTGTAACCAATGGACATAGACAACAATGCTGGGGGTGGTGGGTGGGATGGGGAAGAGGGTGTCAAGGGGAGGGGGCCTGAGAGTCTTCATTTCCAGCAAGCTCCCAGTTGATGTGGGTGCTACTGGTACAGCAAGGACTTAGAGGCTTGTTAAAAAAGAAACTTTTAATCAAAATAATACATGTATCGCCTGGCCGGTGTGGCTCAGTGGTTGAGCATTGACCCATGCACCAAGAGGTTGCCGTTTCGATTTCCAGTCAGGACACATGCTCAGTTTGTGGGCCTGATCCCCAGTAGGGGGCATGCAGGAGGCAGCCAGTCAATGTTCTCTCTCATTGATGTTTCTCTCTCTCCCTCTTCCATCCTCTCTCTCTAAAACCAATAAAGGAAAAAAATAATAATACATGTACCTAAGGTAAACAATCAAATACCAATATGTTTATAATAAAAGTTAGTAGTTTTGTGTCCACCCCATCCCACAAAGGTATTCATCCTCAACTCTTCTGTTTCTTCTGATGTATGCCTTATATTTCTAAATAGTATTCTTTTCTTGTTTTTTGCTGTTTTTGTTTCATGGATGCAGTTATCTTATTTCTCTTACTACATTGATTATACCTTTTGGGATATCTACATCTGCTTATAGTGTTTTTTGTTTCCTTGAGTACTTTTTATTTTGTTGTGGTGTCTTTTATGTTAGAGTTTTGATCCTTGAATAAATAGATACTCATATTTAGGAAGGAAGTATTTAAAAGCTGGATGGGCCTTGGCCGGTTTGGCTCGGCAGATAGAGTATTGGCCCACAGACCATGGAATCCTGGGTTCGGTTCCCACAAAGGGCACATACACTTAAAAAAAAAAAAAGAAAAGCTAGATGGAAGCTCTGGGTTCATGGTAGTTGCCTGGTGGACTTCTCTGTAGTATAATCAGACTTAACCAGTCATCTCACGTGGGAACCCTCAAATATCAGTATCTGAATGTCTTATCTTGCTTTCTCTAGAAAAGAATCTTCAGCCTGTTCCATGGTGAGACAGCTGAGAGCAAGGTTTAGCCTTTAGGTTCTTGACACTAAGAACAAGATTAGGTTTAAAGTCCCACGGTTCTGAACATTGATTTTTGCTTGTACTTATTTTAAACCCTGTGCTTCACTCTCCCTGTGCTATGACTGATTTGTCCAGAGACTAAATATCTAGTCTGCTGTTGGGGAAACCTAGGTTGAAGATGGTATCCAGCTAACCTGTATATAGACTTGCAGGAATTCTCCCTGTTTTTCAGGTTTATGGCTATTAACCTGCCTCAGGGGTACCTGATACCTTCAGTACAGAAGTTCTTGGGGGTTGTGAAGGGCACATTGTTTTCCAGATTTTAACTCCTCTGTTCTAAGACATTTATCCCTCCACCTACTTTCATCTTCTGAAAACATAATTGAACTCTCTCGTATACTTTGTCTCCCTCTCTGTTGACTTTTTAAAGTTAATACTTTATTTTCTTGTCATTTTAGAGATGTTTTGGAAGAGAGAAAAGATAAACATCTGTGGTCAGTCCATCATTTTTTAAATTCAAAGTAGGTTATCAGCACTTTTAATAAGCTTCCTAAGTGATTCTAATGCATATTAAAATGTGCTGGTTCCAAGCTTGAAGAGTATAGCTTGTACCTTGGGTAAAGCTTTTTGCTGACTTTTAGGGATCTCTCTTAGTACTGTCTTTTTTTTTTTTAATGTACTTTTATTGATTTTTTTTTTTTTTTAGAGAAAGGAAGGGGGAGAGAGAGAAACATCAATGTGAGAGACAAACATCAATCGGCTGCCTCCTGCACGCTCCCTACTGGGAATGGAGTCCACAACCCAGGCATGTGCCCCGACTAGGAATTGAACTGGGACCTCTCAGTCCATGGGATGATGTTCAGTCCACTGAGCCACATGAGCCGGGCCTCTCTTAATACTGTCTTCTTTTTTTGGTTAATCCTCACCTGAGGATACTTTTCCATTGACTTTCAGTTAGAGTAGAAGGGAGAGAGACACATCGATTGGTTGCCCCCTGCACGACCCCAACTGGGGCCGAGGATTGAACCTGTAACCCAGGTATGTGCCCTTGACCTGGAATCGAACCCAAGGCTGACACTCTTAACCACTGAACCAAACCTGCCAGGCCCTTAGTGTACTGTCTTATCATTGGATTAAATTACGCCTGTGCTGCCTGGCCAGTGTTGTAAAGTGGTTGAGCGTTGACCCATGCACCAAGAGGTCGCCAGTTCGATTCCTGGTAAGGGCATATGCCCAGGTTGTGAGCCAAATCCCCAATAGGGGGCATGCAGGAGGCAGCCACTAGATGTTCTCTCTCATTGATGTTTCTGTCTCTCCCTCTCCCTCTCCCTTCCTCTCTCAAAATCAGTAAAGGAAAAAAAAAATTTTTTTTTAATTAGGTCTGTGCCTTCTCTTTGGCATCTGCCTTACTTTTCTCTTTCTCTCACTTCCTTCAGCTTCTTTTTTTGTAAGTCAAAGAAAAGACCATAGTAGTGGTAGGGGTGGGGCGAGTCTCCACTTAAAAAATCTTGATTGAGCCCTGGCCGGTTTGGCTCAGCAGTTAGAGCGTCGGCCTGCGGTCCTGAGAGACCCGGGTTCAGTTCCCACTAAGGGCGCGTACCTTGGTTGCAGTTTGTCCCCGGCCCTGGTTGGTCATGCGGGTGGCAGCCACTCAGTGTGTCCCTTCACATTGATGTTTCTCTCTCTCTCTCTTCCTTTCTCTCCCTCCCGTTCTATCTGAACAAAAAATGGAAAAATGTCCTCGGGTGAGGATAAAAAAAAAAAAGAAGTCTGCTATTCAGTTCTGATGCAGACCACCCAGAGTTAGCATCAGATCCCACTGGTTTAATGACATAGTCCCCAAAAAGATTGCACTCATTTCACTTGATCTTAGCCAAAAGGTGGAGAAACAGTGAGACTGCACATACTTCAGATGCCAGTTTGTAAGTTCTGGGTTCCTCAGGCCACTCATTTTTCTGACTACTACCTATAAAATTCAGGGGTTCACATAAACCTTTCAGGTTCAATAATTCACCAGAACAACTCAGAACTCAGGAAAGTGCTATACTTAGGATTGCAGTTTTATTATAAAGGATTCAAATCAGGACCGGCCAAATGAAGATATACATAGGGCAAGGTCTGGGAAGGTCCTAAAAGCAGGGCTTCTGTGCTTTTTCCCTGTGGAATCTCATTGCATGTCACCCTGCTAGCATATCCTTGTGTTCACCAACCAGAAAGCTCCACTGAGCTTCAATGTCCAGAGTTTTTATTGGGGTTTTGTTATGTAGGCACTAGCTAGCTCAGTCTCTTACCCTCTTGCCTTCCTCACACAAAGTTGGGCTCAACTCCATTGGTCTTTCTAATAACCAGCCCCATTCTGAATTATCTCATTAGCATAAATGCACTCAGGGTGAGTGTGGCCCACTATAAATAACAAGCACTCCTATTATTTGGGGTGTTCTAAGAGTTATACATATGTATATTTTTTTAATCGATTTTTTAGAGAGAGCAAAACATCAGTGTGAGAGCACAACATCAATTGACTGCTTTCTGCATGCCCCCTACTGGGAATCAAGCCCGCAATCTGGGCATGTGCCCTGACAAGGAATTGAACCAGCCCAACCAACTGAACCACACCAGCCAGGGCTCAAATGGCAAAATTTGATCAGCTATCTGCTTTCATTACAGTAGAAAAACATTTGCAGCCCTAAGGACAATGACAATGGTCAGTTTAAAAAAAATTAATGTTAAGGGTCTTAGAGGAGTCAGTAAAGACAGATTCTTGACATTTCTTTCCCTAGGTCAAGGGTCGTGATAAACATATCAATAATTTGAAAAAGAAATGTCAGAAGGAATCAGAGCAGAACCGGGAGAAACAGCAGCGTATTGAGACCTTGGAGCGCTACCTGGCTGATCTGCCCACACTGGAAGACCATCAGAAGCAGAGCCAGCAGGTAGTAGCAATGTTTGGGCATACCTGGGGCAAGCAGGGGGTAGCCAAGGCTGGAGGACTTTCCTAGGCTCTGCTCTATGCAGTTACTGCGTGATTTCCTGAAAGGAAAATCCCGAGTTGTCAAGATTCACAATTGGACTATAAAAATTTTAAGATAACCAGTCTGTCTTGGTTTCTTAACCTAAGCATGGAATCCTGTTTCTCAGCTTAAGGATTCTGAGTTGAAGAGTACAGAGCTACAGGAGAGAGTGACTGAGCTGGAGAGTTTGCTGGAGGAAACCCAGGCAACCTGCAGAGAGAAAGAGGTTCAATTGGAAAGTCTGAGACAGAGAGAAGCAGAATTCTCCTCCACTGGACATAGGTAAATATTCCCCGTGGGGTTGAGGAAAGAAGTGGAGAGCTAGGTTCTGGTCCTGGCTACCCCACTCAATACCTGTGTGGCTGTTCAATCACTTTACTTCTCTGAGCTTCATTTGTTTGGATTGTGAGTTACAGAAAAGCTAAGTGTGGGCAGATGGAGTGTGGGGGATATAATGGTGCAGTGGGAGCTTGTCGTCATATCCTTTGGAAGGATCCAACCCTGTGCCTATCATATAATACTGGATAGTATTCCTTGAGTATTTATGTTTTGAATGAATGGAAGCACTTTATAAACTGGGAAATAAATCGTCTTTGTATTTGCAAAAGTAGATCCTGGTGTGGGAACTGGGGATTATCCACATTTCGAACCTTGTAAGCTAAAGGCTACCAGCAGCCTGTTTCCCCTCAGCCCTAGGGATTATTCTCAATTGCCACAGTAGGTTCTGAGAGTAAAACAAGATGCCTTAATGTACTCTCTGGGAATCTTGGGAACTTCCTCCATATTATTAGCAGTTTCTGAAAATGTGATGGCTGTGTTTCAACAGTCTCTTGGACGAAATCCAGTTTCTAATGGGATGGATTGGATTTCTCATCCCATATTCAACCACAGTGACCCTGGTGTTTATCTTAGCAGATGGGCTATGATGAAAGTGATTGGGGGGATCTGTTAGAGGAGACTTGGTTGGAGTCAGAAGTGACATTAGGGTACACAGTTGACTGCCCCAAACTGTGTGTGCCAAGAAAAAAGGAAATTTTTTTTGTATGTTTCAAAATTCTACAGTATACACATATGATTTTTATAATCTAAATACATGTGATGAATGTTTGTTTTTAGATATAAAAACAAAGAATAAAGGCCTTGGGCAGGTGGCCATTGTATAGATAGATGTTGGCCTCTAGGGAAGGGAACTTATAGACTGAGCAGCTTCTGTGTGGCACACCCTACATTATTACAATAGACCTGATGTTATCCTCAGCTGTGGCTCAGAAGGGCCTAACTGTTTTGCCCCAAAACATACAGTAAATAGCAGATCAGGAGTCAGAGCCACATCTGTCTGACTTCAGACTTCTTGAAGAGGCCACTGTCTTTCAGCCTTCAAGATAAGCAGTGTGTAGAGGCCAGTGGAGAAGTTGCAGCCCACCAGGAAGAAGGTCTAAAAGTGGAAATGGAATCCTGGCAGAAGGAATGTGATTCCCTCCGAAAGGTGACTGATGGTATCCAGGTTGTAACAAGTGGTAGGCTGAGAGGGAAGAGAAAATTGTATTGGGAAGGAACTATGAATTTCTGGCACTGGGCCACCTAGGATCTGTTACCCAGAGCTTTTCCCTCTTTTCCATGAAGTCACTCCTGCATAATAAGTTTGCATTTTAGATATTCATCCTTATGACAGGCAAGCAAAGTGAGGAGAGGACATGCTTCTGAGCATTCAGACTAGATGCTCCAAAATGGTGCACTGAAGCTTGGTGCACTTCATTCATGGCTCAGGCCCTATATAGAACCTCTTTCACTGGGCAGAGATCTAAACACTGAAGTGGCCCTAATTCAGTGGAGGAGGAGGAGCCCAGGGATTGCTGGTGAAAGTGATCACAATTGAAGTCAGTGTGATGAAAGTTATAAGTAACAATCATCACAGCCCTGGATAGGGCAAGCTTTATTAAACTGAATTTTTTTTTAATTTAATCCTCACCCAAGGATATTTTTCTGTTTATCATTAGATAGAGTGGGAGGGAGGGAGAGAGAGAAACATCGATGTGAGAGAGACACATTGACTGGTTGCCTCCCACATGACCCGAACAGGGCCAGGGACAAACCATAACTGAGATACGTGCCTTTGATGGGAATTGAACCCACGACCCATTGGTCTGCTGGCTGACACTAACTGCTGAGCCAAACTGGCCAGGGCAACTGAATTTTTAGCCATGTCCTTTACCAAACAACCAGAATGTATGCTGGCTATATATAAAGTTAATTCCACTGGCCTACAGTCGTCAGGGTGAAGGTGTCTCCCCTACCCACACTCACCCCCAGTAGTGGTCGTAAGTTCACACTATATGTTTTTTGTGTGACTGGAGCACAGGAGTATGAAGCTGGTTAGCCAGGATAGGGAATCTGGGTTATATTTCTATAGGTAGAGCTAACTTGTCTTCACTCTGGTCTTACTATTGACTGGCTGGCTATAGTCAATAGGGCTAATAGCCAGACTGCAGGTCCTAGTGTAGTCTCTTGTCCTCTTGCCTCCTACCTCAACATCAGCCTGTACTTATAGCTGTCCTTGATAACTTTGCCTTTTAGATTGTAGAGAAGCAACAGCAGAAGATGGATCAGTTGCATTCACAAGTACAGGTGAGCTGGAGTTGTTGGGACGTGGTGCGCAGGATTAATGATGGAATCATTAAGGGTCTGGAGGTTTTGACCCTTGAAGGAGGAGGAGGAATTAGGCAGGCAAAGAAGTAGAACTGGAGAGGGTGTATTGGAACTCCAGATAGAAGGAACAGCACAGGTAGGAACATGGAGGCATGAAACAGCAGGGTTTTGTCCATGGAGCTGCAACCAGTTCGGTATTGTTGAAGTAGGATGGAGGTGAATGGAGAACTGGGAGAGTTTTGTCTCTCTGATTAAGTTAGCTTTTATTCTTTAGGTAAGTGATGGGAATCTACTATAGCATTTAATTTGGGTGTGATGTGGTTAGCTTAGTAACTCAGGTTTTGGTATGGTAGAAGATTAGCACCTGGAGAGAGGCAGGGCAGGAGGCCAGTGGACTGCTGTGAAAATCCTAGTGAGAGGTGATGAAGGAACTGGCATAAGGCAGCATAGCAAGGAGATGTGAGGGGACAGATTTAAGTGAATTTTAGAAGGTAAAATTAAGAGGAGTCAGTGACTGACAGCACGTAGGGGGTTGAAGAATAAGGAAAAATCAGAGTCCTGTTTTCTATTTTGGGCCAGAGTGGGGGTGTCCTTAATTGTGTTCTCTAAGAAATCCAAGGTAAAGCAGGTTCACTCAGGTTCTCTTCAGACTCTAAAAGAGGCTTCACCCCAAAATGGGTAAAATGCACTTACTCTGAGGAGCTGCACCCTGCCTTTGCCGTTACGTGGGTTTAAAGTCCTAGGTTTTTAGTAGAGTTTTGATGACTCTCTGTTTTCTGGAACCCTCAGGTTCCCCAAAGGTTGAAAAAGCTCAATATATTAAATGGTACATTTAGCCATGGGTATTTCATGGTAATGAGACGTTCTCCTTGGCAGTTACATTTTTTATTTTATTTATTTATTTATTTATTTATTTATTTATTTATATCCTTACCTGAGGACATTTTTCCATTTTTTGTACAGATAGAGTGGGAGGGAAAGAGAGGAAGAGAGAGAGAGAGAGAAACATCGACGTGAAAGGGACACATCGAGTGGCTGCCACCCGCACAACCAACCAGGGCCGGGGACAAACTGCATCCGAAGTACGTGCCCTTAGCGGGAACCGAACCCGGGTCTCTCAGGACCGCAGGCCGACGCTCTAACCGCTGAGCCAAACCGGCCAGGGCAGTTACATTTTTTATTAATACAAATGGGAAAATTCAGATTTTTTGTTTTTCAAATTAGTTACAAAATTGGAGGGAAATTGGAATGAATAGAATAAGAGGCAAAAGATAACAAATATAAATACCTTCCTCTCTCTGGCTAATCATAACCACACACACATTATCAACTAGATTTGGTGCCTGTGGGAGTGTTCTACCCCTTCTCATTTTTGTCAAAAGTATTTAAAACAACACTGTGAAAAGCTTAAAGACTGGTATTCTTTTCTGTAGCCTCAGTGCCTGTCAGAGTAAGTGCTCAATAAATATTGAACTAGACTGAATGGATGTTCCCTGGCCTCACAGTTATGGCCTAGTGGAGGGAGGAATCAGGTGCACAACCAAGAACACTCATGAGCTCTGATGGAGGTATGAGTAGCAGGGTGCGGTTAGGATTAATTGAATCTGATTTTCAGATTGAGGAAAGCTCCATTGACCTTGGAGGTTTCCTGGGTGACAGAGCAGAAGAGATGTCTGGGCAAAGGGGAAGAGGAGGGGTGAGCAACAGTATTGGAGCTGAGCCTTTCAGGATGAAGGCCAGCCCGTCATTCGGCATGGCTGGAGTGGAGGTGGTGTGGAGGGTAGAAAGAGATATGGCTAGAAACGTGGGTAAGGGCCAGAATGGCCTGGAATGCCCTTCTAAGGAACTAGCCTCTTACTTGTACATGGTCACTGGGTATAGCAGGTTTTAATCAGAGCTGTTCTAGAATCTCTTAGCAGTGTATAAGCAGGGTAGGGCTTTACTGTGTAGTCCAGGCCAGAGGTGATATGGTCTGAAACAGACTTGTTACCCCTGGTGTGTTCTCCCACCACTCCTTGCCTTGGAGTTTAGAGCCTAGAGCAGCAAGTGGCTCAGGAAGAAGGAACAAGCCAAGCCCTGAGAGAGGAGGCCCAGCAGAGGGAGACAGCCTTGCAGCAACTTCGCACAGCTGTGAAAGAGGTGAGCAGCATTGCTAGGCCTCTTGGTACTCGTTCTTTGTGTACCCCCCCCTCCCTACTCCCACATGAGTCCCCATGTCTGAAAGGTACCTGCTGAGGTTGGGGGGGGGTGCACAGAGGACTATGAAGGGACATTGCGTTATCCTTTATATTAAAGGTCCTCAGTCTTACAGTGGCCATAACTACCCAGGAATGCTTTTTGTATGTGGAAAGTAATTCTCTCTCTCTTTGTCTTCCTGCAGCCACAGATTTGTGGGGGTGGGAAGGGAAGGGTTCAAGAAGAAGGAGGGTTGGGTGGTCCTTTGGAGTAAATAGAGCTGTCATCAGGGGGCCAGCCAAGTTCCCTGGCCAGATGCTAGGAAGTAGTCTCCCAGAGTTAGGATTGTCACATGGCCCAGTGTGGGTGAAGGGCTGGGATTGGAGGAGGAACTCTATTATTCAGTGTCTTTTAAATAGAATAGAGGTAGGGAGGGAAGGAGAGGAGGAAAGAGACACAAATGTATGTGAATAACTGGTCTACATAGTGAAGCCTGACTCCACTGAGGTGAGAATTTGAAAAGGAAGGATACATTCCAGCACTGTTTCCTCCAGGTCCCCAGCTTCTCCAGCTCCCCACCCAGTGGCCACTAGCTGTCATGTTGTCTTTATTGCTCCCTTTATTCCTCTGACACACACTGATCGGACTGGCTGGTGGCCACTTTTGTCAGGGTGGCAGGGAGAGATTGAAACCAGTGTCTCCTCAGATTTCACGGTTCACGTTAAGCCTTCTCTAATAGCCTGGCTAACAGAGTTGGCTGAGGGACTGGCTTCAGATAGAGTTCCGAGGGGCGGGAGCATCTCCTCTGGTTCCTGTACAGAAACTTGAAGGCTGATGACTCAGAGTCTGTTGGGGAGTGGTTTCCTCTCCAGTTTGGTAGCCTTGTGGGCCCAACCCACCTACAGAAGGAACTAGGTCTGATACTGGGAAGGGAGTGGGAATACTAAGTCTGTTGGTAGGGATGGGGAGGATATCCCTGACTCATAGCCTCCCCTTCACACACATATATACATATATCCACAGTCAGGTACAGATACACTGCCTTTCCCTGGGCCTGGGTTAATGTTCTTGCCCATCTATCCACTCAGCTTTCAGCACAGAACCAGGACCTGATTGAAAAGAATCTGACGCTCCAAGAACACCTGCGCCAAGCTCAACCAGGGTCCCCATCTTCACCAGACACGGCTCAGCTGGCATTTGAGCTGCATCAGGAGTTGGCCTGTTGTCTTCAAGATCTGCAAGCTGTTTGCAGCATTGTGACCCAGAGGGCCCAGGGCCATGACCCCAATCTCTCCCTGCTCCTGGGCATTCACTGTGAGTCCTCAGGCCAGTCTGGGACCCAGGAGAGTGTGGCTTTCATTCTCTCATCCTCATCCAACTTCCCCATCCTTACGGTAATGTGGGAACGGGGCCACAGAGGCATCATCACTGTCCTCTGAGAGTTTGTCTTTCGAAAAGCAGGTGTTCATTAAATCTACTTTGGGAACAGGCATCTTTTTGGGGTCCCTGGGTACAGGACAAGCAAAAAGTGGCCCTTAGGCACAGCAAGTTTTCAGCCTGTTAACCCCAGCTGTTTTTTTTAAGTGCTGTGTCTCAAGACTACGGGCCCCAAGGTACTTCCTATGCATACTGCCTCCACCTGAAAGCGTCCCTTGACTAACATTCTCTCAAAATCCTCTCCTCCCCAGCTGCACAGCACCCAGGGACTCCACTAGATTTACAGAAGCCGGATGTGATCAGGAGGAAACTAGAAGAGGTTCGACAGCTACGCCATGACATTGAGGATTTAAGGACCACCATGTCCGATAGATATGCCCAGGACATGGGAGAAAACTGTGTCACACAGTGAGGATTGCTGGGTGTGGGACAGGTTGTATTCCCTAAGGGAGGATCTGGTCTGCTGAGAGCCCAGTCCAGCAGGTCCTGCCCTGACAATCTCTTGCCTCCTGTTTGCTGCTATTTCCAGAGAGGTGTGGAAGGGCGCTTAGAACCTGCATCTGGGGCCAGGGGCCGACTAGGGAACTGTGCCTGCCCTGTCACACACTGGCATTGCCTCCTTGGATTGCATTTGTCCTGTCATCCTGATTCACCCTTTGAGGGTGAGTTACTAATTAAGTTTTGCAGGTCACCTGATAAGTCTTCAGACTGTTCCCAGCCCTAGGCTAACGTCAAAGACTACAGGCTGTTCACCTACCTTCTCCATCCTTTGGGGTGGATCCATGTTCATTCCCACTCCATACATTGGTCCTGCTGATGCCTGGTATTTATTAGAGGGGCCTGGAAAGGCTGAGTAACAGTAACAATGGCCATTTGAGAATTCTCAGGCTCCATGTGCCAGCCTTCCTGGGAGCTGAGCTGGCTTTCTGGATTTACTTAGGCCTAGTTCCACTGCTTCTTCCTCAGGGCTCTTGTTCTTACAAGACACCTCAGGGTGATCTGTTCATTAGCAAAGTACCACTCTAATTGGAGGCCTAAGGATTATAGCCAAGGCTCCTTCATTTGTGCCATTTTACAGGAGAACCCACTCTCCAGCTGCCTGTGGCCTTGGCTCCCTTATTTTTCCTCAGGCAGTCCAGGTAGCCCCCTTCTTGGACTTTGAGTGCAGACTCTTCTCTGTGGTTCTGGGTTTAGGCAGGATTTACCCCCAGAATACTACAGGTCAACTGTCAAGCTGCTCACCCCCTCACCCTGGGGCTGGAGCCAGTGCCCAGCCCTGATTTGTGCCTCTCTTGTGTTGGGGGTGGTTCCCTTTCCCGCTCTGGGCTCCTTGAGAGTTCAGAGTACCCAGTACACGTTAGCTTTAAGGGATAGCTTCCAGTGTTTTCTGGGTTTGTTTGTTTGTTTCTCTGGAGCCTTTGAACCCTCTGCTTTCTGTTTTCTCTTCTTGCCTCCTTTCGGGAGCATCTCATAGTTGTTTGTGCCTGGTTGCCCGGCTGGCCCCAGGCCTCTAGAGCTGGAGCGGGCCAAGCCGAGGCCGTGTGTAGGTATGCGGAGCACGGAGCAGTTCAGGAGCCCACAGCCAGCCACCATGAGATTCTTGCTAAGCTTTGGGCTGTCAGGGCAACATCCTAGACCTCACTTCTGAGCCTGAATGAGACTTCTTAAGTGTTTTTACAAGTTGTGTTTTATTTATGGAGTGACTTATCCCTTCCATTCAGAGCAGCCCCGCCCAGCCATCCCCTCAGCCTCCGGGCTCCTGCCTACTCTCCTGAAAGCAGAACTGCCTGGTTGGTCTCCACCCTGTGTTGGGAGCTCAGCCACCATGCTCACGGGTATTTTTTCTCGTAAAGTTTATAAGCAGTTATTTATATGAATTCTTGTTATGTCAACTGGTTTGTATTGGCTATTTTGATTACAAAATAAAAATTTAACAGACTTCCTCAGTTTTCCATGGTTTTCCATCACCACCATCCCCTACTCCACCCCTTATTTTTGCTTGTTGAAGCCAAAGCCTGGGAGTTGAGCCAAGTTCCCCAGACAGCAGCAAGGAGGGACCTTTGGCAGGTCCAACCTCATGTCTGTATCTGTACTTCTGCTCCTCTGTTGTTCTTTGGGGGAAATTAGATCTTTCCCCACAACTTTATATTGGTTTTATATTGGGCAAAGCTGCCCTGAGTCAGCAGATTGGAAAGTTTGAGTAATCCTCGGAGAGAGGAAGTCTGCTGCCTCGGTTGCTGTGAGGAAGTGGCTTTGCTAGAGCAAGGCAGGGTGCTGTTTGCTTCAGGGGGCTAGGGTTGTCTCCCTGGGGCACTCCGAGTCCTGGTCCTGAAGGGATTTCTGAGGGGAAACATGTCCAACTTCAGGCAGCAGTCTCCAAAGTTCGGCTGGTTCCTGGAGTCTGCACCCTCTGAACCCCCTGAGTTTTTGCTAAGAGTGGGAGTGGTTTCAGAGTGCCATCTGCAACTGGAGTTGGGGTTGAGCTGAGCCACCCCAAGACCAGCTCTGGATCTTTAACAAGGAATCCTGACACCAACCTCTACCTCCGCCCTTTCCAGAGCTAGCAGCCTCTTACCTTGGCCTCCATCTGGCTCCTTGAGGGTGTGGCCCTGTCTCCTGCCACCGCCCTTCCTTGTTTAAACCTGCATGAATGGAGAGGAACTTGGGGGGAAATCGCTAAGCAGGGGCTATCCCAGCCTTGGTGTACCCCCTATCTCGATGGGCTAGCTATATGTAGATGTCCCCTAGGGGACTGTGGGGTAGGGTCCCTTGGAACGAGGTTCCCTAGCTTGGGAACTTTAGGTCTGAAAATAGCCTTTGAAATTCAAAGCCTGGAGGAGCTGCGCTGCCGTGGCACCGGCGGTGGGTAGTTGGGTGCAGCAAACCCAGGCGAGGATGTGGAGGTAGCCTTTGCCAAACCCTCGCCCCTGCCCTCGCGGCCTCCCCAGCCATTGGGGTCCTCCCCAGCCTCACAGTGTGAACCCAGAAGAGAGAAAGGCCACAGCGGGTGGTCCTGCGTGGACTAGGGGGTCCCGGCGCGCCTGGCACTGGGGGGAGGGGAGGGGACCTGCGGTGAACGGGCGGGGTAGCGCAAGCCCGGCCCCGGCCCCGCCCCCGCCCGCGCCACCCATTGGTCCCGAGAGCGGTGACTCGCGGGCTGAGCAGGAAGGAAACCGCTCCCGAGCAGCGGCGTCGTCTCCAGGCCGTGCAGCTTCAGCTACCGCCGCTTGTCCACCAGTCCGTCCACACGCAGCATGAGCGGCCTGCGCGTCTACAGCACGTCGGTCACCGGGTCACGCGAAGTGAGTGCACACCAGGGGCCCACGCTGCGGGACAGCGTGGGTGCCCGGATCCATCCCCAGGGCGAGGGCGGGGCGGGGGCTGCGAGGCTCCGGGTCCCACTGCGGCCCTGCCTCACGGCCCCATCCTGAAAGCCTTCATTGGGTATCGTGGGGCCTCAACAGTCCCAGCATAAACTGCCCACGCCCATCCTCTGTCGCTCGGACGCCTATTCTCTGCACCCCCATTATCAGGACAACCCAGACCATGTCCTCATCTTGTCCTTCCTCTCTTCCACTGTGTACCTGGGGTGGGGTGGCCCCTTACCAGCCTCTACCCAGGCCTGCCCTGCCTCCCCATCGCAGAGCTCCTGGCTCTACCCACCCTGAACTTTATCCCACTTCCCTTCATTCTGACTTTCCTCTCCATGGTTGCCGGTCCCTCTTTCATCCTACACCATCACAAGCCTGACTCATCCTCAAAGTCCCAGTGGCCAGAACCCTCCCCCAGGGTGTGGAGGAGGACAGGGGGACAGAACCTCCTGGCCACAGTCCCTGTCTACCTGGGGTTCCCCCTAAGTCCTCCAGCCTAGTCACCCCTGCCTGCCTTCTGCCCCCAGATCAAATCCCAGCAGAGCGAGGTAACCCGCATCCTGGATGGGAAGCGCATCCAGTACCAGCTAGTGGACATCTCCCAGGACAACACCCTTCGGGACGAGATGCGAGCCTTGGCAGGCAACCCCAAGGCCACCCCACCCCAGATTGTCAATGGGGACCAGTACTGTGGGGTATGGGCCTGGGGGTTAGGGTTGGGAGGAGTGTTGTAGATGAACTCAGGCCAGAGTTGGACCTGAGACAAAGCACCAGCACTCAGGTGACCACCTCTCTCATCCCCTCCCCCAGGACTATGAGCTCTTTGTGGAGGCTGTGGAACAAAACACGCTGCAGGAGTTCCTGAAACTGGCTTGAGCCGAGCCCAAGCTGGCCAACTGCACTCCCTCACCACATTCTCCCAGCCCCCAGCCATTGTGGGCCATGAAGGACCTTGTGACCAACTCCCTGTTGTTCCTAACCTTTTACTTGGAGCCCCGCCCCCCAATCCAAGCCTCTCCTCCTCCCTCTAACTGTAGCCCCTTCTCCTCAGTGGCAACATTCCTTACCCTGTAGTCTCAGAAATTGTCTTAAGCAACAGCCCAGGTGCTGGCTGTCTCAGCCTGGCCCTGGGACTGCCATCCTGCCTGGCACTGGCTGATGGGCACCCTTGTTGGTTCCATTATCTAGGGCTCTGCCAAAGGCCCCGCAATCCTCACCTGGGAGCACCCTAGAGACAATTAAATGTCCTATTCCATTGGTGCCTTGTCTGTTTGGTGTGGCCTAGACACCCCAAGTTCCTGCTCTGAGCAAGGCTGGGAGGTGTAAGTTTGCTATGGCTGCTCCCGTTGGCAGGGTCGGTTGTGTACTGTGTGGCACTTACGTGTGATAGTGCATGTGTTTGGATATATGTCTAGTATACGCATACCTGTGTGGACCAATGGTTTCTGGAGACTGGGTGGGTCCCCTTCCAGTTCACATGCATGTGATGGTGTCCATGACACATCTCAGGACCGCAGGTCGATGCTCTAACCGCTGAGCCAAACCGGCCAGGGCTGTCCATGACACATCTGTGCCTTGGTGTGTACTGTGTGCATTTGCATGCCTGTCAGTAATGTGGCTGGGCCCTGTGGCTGCCTGCCTGTGTTCCAGCAGATTGGCTAAGTGTGGGTTTGTCATGGGAATGGGTACACAGCTACAGTTCTGCCAGTTTGGGGGCAGTGGCTTTGTGCATAGTGTTGACGTGTCCCCAGGTGCTTGTGGTTCTGTGCATATCTGTGCACAGGGATCTGCTGGCTGCACAGGAGACTCTGCTGCCCCAGCATAGCCTGTGCTGGGGGGGCCTTCCCTTCGCTGGATCCGCTTAACCCTTCCATGGAGAAAGGAACCTAGAGGACAAAGACCCAAGGCCAGGCCTGCCAGCTGGGGCTCGAGTTACGGAGAGGGGGAATCTGTGCTGCTGCCCCCTCTCAGGCCCAGCTGGGCCCCAGCCTTCCCTGGCGCCCAGCTGTGCTACCCCACTGTGGAGCCTCAGGAAGCAGCCAGTGTTGGGGGTAGGTGCTTTATTTGGATTGGGGGCAGGTTGGGGTCAGGGGGCAGGTGGCAGAGCCCGGCTTGCCCGCAGTAGCAGAGCTGCATTGGGCACCAGTCCAGCAGCCTGCAGCGTGAGTGAGTCCTCATGGTAGACTGTGGGCGGGAATGTACTGAAGATCTCGAAGGTGTTTGCGTCCACAGCCCTGAGGACCGGGCAGAAAGGATCAGGTTGGGTCGTGGGACCAAAGACCCACTGCAGCTGCCAGCCTGGCCTCACACCGACCTGGCTTGTGCGAGCAGGGCTCGCACATCACCAACAGTATCCTCAGGCCGCATCATCAGCAGAAAGGCCTGCTCACCATTCTCAGACTTGATGCGCAGCATGGAGAGCGGGGGTGCAGGTGACTCAGGAGACTCTTGGTTCCTGTGGGCCCAGAGGCCATCAGTGCCCCCACAGCCCAACCCCAGGCTCTCACCTTTCCTCTCTGCTCTCACCTCTCACGCTCAGCAGCCAAGGCAGGCGTCTCCACCACAATCTCCTGGATCGGGACAGGCCATGGGCAACAGTTCTGGAAAGCATCCATGGAGAGTGGACAGAGCCCTGAACCCTGCCAGTCACACCCCACCTCCACCCTTAGAGGGGACTTGTTCATGACCAGGAATTGATTAAACCAATGAGCCTAAGGAAGAGATGGGGGGTCCTGTGTAAAGGAGGACACGAGGAGAGGGAATAGATGGGAAGCTCTGGGAGACTGCCCATCATTCCCCCAAGAAGACTTGAGGTTCTGAAGTCTAGTGGGGGAGACAGAATCCCATGCTGATAATGACATGGCTGGATGCTTAGCCCAGCGTGGGTCAGGGAAGATTTCCTGGGGGAAACGCTGTGACTGAAGGAAGAGGAGGAGTCCTTAGAAATGGAATGGGGGGCAGAGGTCCCCAGGTCAGGGAAGACTTCTGAGGAGGTGACACATTTGGGAAAGAGTTTGTAGTTTGTGGTTCCGAAGCTGGGAATCAGGTTGGAATAGAAGAAAGAAAAGGGGCGGGGGCACAGGCCTTGAGTGCTGGGGAAGAGCTTAACCTTACCCAAGAACCACTAGAGGGTTTCAACAAGAGCCAAGGTCCAGTTTACATTTTTTAAAGGCTGCTTGGGGAGGGTGGTTGGCAGGGCAGCAGTGGATGTGGAAGACTAGACCTGCATTGTCTGGGAGAGACATTCTGGAGCCTAGACTAAGATGATGGGTGGTGGGAATGGAGAGAAGGGATGGATTCAGGAGAAATTCTGGGGATCAACAGATCAGATAGGACTTGGCAATGTTAGGCAGAGGAAGTAGAAAGTCCTGGGAAACTGAGGTTTGGTGCCTTTCGCAAGTAGAGGTACGGGAGGAGTAGCAGGATGGGGAGTGAGGAGAGAATGATGAGTAGTGTGAGGACAAGGAAGGGCTCTCCAAACCTGAACTGGGTATTTTGGTCTGGGCTTTGAGGGGGTGTCCTGGGCCTTGGACCCACCTCTGGCCTAGACTGACTTTCCCTTTCTTACAGCCACATCCTTGCCAACCCAGCTGCTCTCTGGGTCCCAGCCCAGAACCCTTAACAGCTCATTTCTAGAAGACAAGAGGGACAGAGCTGAGATGCCCATCTCTCCCTCCAGGCCCTCCTCAGGGACCCCCAACTCTGAGCCTCTACTAGGGGTGGGGAACCTTTTTTCTGCAAAGGGCCATTTGAGTATTTATGACATCATTCGTGGGCCATACAAAATTATCAACTTAAATTAGCCTGCTATGTTTGGTCAGGCTAATTTGGTGAGGCGTGTGATGTCAGCTGGTATTGATTTTGCAGGCCTTATATGGCCCGGGGGCCGGACATTCCCCACCCCTGCGCCTACACAAACCACTGCTCTGGTAGGCTGGGCCAGGGCCCTGGCCGGTGTGGCTCAGTTGGTTGGGGCACATGTGGGAGGCAACTGATTGATGTCTCTCTCACATCAGTGTTTCTAAATTCAATTTTAAAAAAGAAATCTTACCTTTAAAAATAACTGGGGGAGCTAGGGCTGGCCTCACCTGCAAGGTGTTCCGGATGGGGCCCCGGATGTCAATCACCTCGCCTTGACGAATCACAAATTTGGGGAGCCTGTTCAGAAACTTCTCAGGGGTCATCCTAGAACCTGTAGGGAGGGCATTGGGAGCCTTTTGGGGGGAGGGGCTGTGGGTGATGGTGGAGGCGGCCACATGGCCCTTGTCCTGTATAGCACCCCCACCACCTGGCTCAGCCTCAGGGCCAAGCTCACCTGGGTGCTCCATCGTGACTGAGGGCTTTCGAATCCTCTGCCAGCCCACCACTCGGCCCTCGCCTGGGAATGGGTCCAGCCCACTCTCTGGGTAAACCTGATTGCGCAGGTCACTCACCTGACACAGAAGGAAGGGAGACAGCGGCAGGACCAGTTCTTCAGCCCTGGCTCCACCCCCACCCTGTTGCTCAGGTTCCAGGAATAGGCCCAAGGTATTGCCTGTTGCAACCCCACTTTTCAGATGAGGAAAGTGAAGCCCTGGGACAGAGCAAGAGAGCTGCAGTTCATGTTATGGCACACCTGGGCCCTGCTCTCCTGCCAAGCCCTCACTGGGGCCGCAGTACTGACATCCTCCCAACAACATCCCTTTCAGGAGCCCACAAGGAGGGGAAGAATGCAGGTGTTAGGAGAGGGCAAAGCCCCTGCTGCTTGTAGTCTGCAGTGCAGACCCCATCATTGCACAGATCACCTCACTTGTCCCCATCGAGGCACACCTCCTGGGCCCATCTTGACCTGGACCCCCAATCATGACTATTTCCCAAGCCATGGTGGCACACACTTCCTCAGATGCCCTCATTGTGGAACTAACACACCACCCTCTGGGACACTGCCTCATTCATCTTCAATACCAGGCGGGGCAGTGGTTGAGGGCTGTGCTTTCAGGATGCCAGCAGGGGGCGCTGCCTGCTGCTCAGCTACAGGCTGTCTTGGCTGCTGCTCAGTCAACTGTGGCCATAGCAGCCTCCCACTCCCTTCCCAGCCTGGCTTCAGGCTGAAGATCATCAGATTGGGGTCCCCTGAAATGGGGTATTTACTTCGAGCCTCAGATTGGGTGATGCCCAAAGAAGTTGTTTATCCCCACCACTTCCAAAATCCCCACACAGGTTGTAGCTGACTGGTTTGAGGAGGTCATCACCTTAAAGGGGACCCCATCGGGGTATAGGCGCTGGAGTTCTGAGGGGAAGAAGCCATCCATTATGTCTCGGAGGCAGTGCTGCAGGGGGGAGAGAAAGAGTAAGGACTGGCTAGACCTGTGTAGCGGCCCCCACCCTACTTCCTGTCTGGATGGCAGACCCTGGGCCTCAGGGTTGCCCAGTGGATCACACTCTGGCCCAGGACTTGTCAGGGGTGGGGGTGGGGGCTCTGCAAGTTCTGCATGGGCCTTTGTGCCTGTAAGGGACAGACTGCCCCCCCCCCCATTGCCAACTAATGATGAACAGAATGGGGAGCACGAGGGGCCTGTCTGCCCTTCCCCCAACTCCTACCTGTGTGGAGGGATCATGAAAAGGTCGGAAGGGCCCATCAAACATCATGATACCATTCCGGTACACCTTCAGTGGGATGGGCTCGAGGACATGGAGCTTTGCTCCGCCAGGTATCGGCATCACCTGGGTGTCACTATCTACCAGCTCACTGAGATCCTTCAGGCTGGCCAGCAGTCTGTCAAAGTCCACCTCAGGGGGCACCAATGAATCCCCTGGTAAAGGGGATAGGCGCCCATAAGCTTCCCTTCTTGGTTGTTGTGTGCCCTAGCAGCCCTGGTTCCATGCCCCCTCCCATGATGGGCAGTGGCTTTAGCATCTCCTTAAGTGACTACCTGGAGGAGGAAGGACAACTAACACTAGGTAGTAATAATAATAGCTATCTGTTATTGAATGCATACTTTGTGCTAGGGGTTTAATATCTATTATCCCAGTCTCTCTTCATTCTAACCCTGGGCTGTAGGGCTACAATCAGCACCACCTCCTTTTTTTTGTTGTTGTTGTTAATCCTCACTTGATATTTTCCCATTGATTTTAGAGTAGAAAGGAAGGAGGGAGAAACATCGATGTGAGAGACACATTGATTGGTTGCCTCCTGCACACTCATCCACCGGGGCTGGGATCGAACCTGCAACCCAGGAATATGCCCTTGGCCAGCAATCAAACCTACGACCCTTAGGTGCACAGGCTGACACTCTAACCACTGAGCCACACCAGCCAGGGTGGCCTCATTTTTCAGATGAGGAAACAGGGTTAGAGAAGATTAATGGCATGCCTAGGGATGCACAGAGTAAGTGGCAAGAGCAGGATCCGATCTGTCTGTGTCAGGCGCTGGGTTAACAGCTGGATTCCAAGATGACCATGTAAGGTCCAGCTGGGAACAAGCACTCTGTCCACGTTAGTTATTGTTACCAACTCTACCTTGCAAAAAATGGAACTTAGGCCAACCCAGAGGCTATGAGGCAGGGGTTATTTATCTCCATTTTACACATGAGGAAACAGGCCCACAGAGATGAAAAATGACTTGCCCCAGGCCCCCTGCCAGTTAGAGGAGGAGCTGACTGTAGAGTCTGTTTCTCCCACACTTCCGCACTATCAGGAGAAAGAGATCGAAGTAAGGACAGATGGCTTTTAAGGAGGATGTTGGGACAGCTGCTGGACAGAACAGATGTGGGGCAGATCTTGGGTTGTGCAACTATTTCTGGGTCACAGACCCCTTTGAGAAGTTGACAGAAGGTTTGGCCTCCTATTCTGAACAAATGTGTTGCACATACAGCTGTGTATAATCTTCAGGGGGTGGGACAACCATGACAGCGTCAGAGCACAGAGAGCAGAAGGCAGGTGGGAGGCCTGTTCTCAGTCCTTGAAGGGACCTGGCTCCCAAGTCATCTACTAGGGTGTAATCCCCACCAAACACAGGGACTTTCTGGGCCTTCCTGGAAGCTCTTTTCACCAGGACAGCCACTCTGTGGCAGGATGTGGGTCAGAGCTCCGGGGACCTGAATTCCTTTCCCCACAGTGGTACAGTGGCTGTACCGGGGGAAGTACAGATGTGGGTGGCCGTTTCCTGTTGCCTTTGCCGGGCTGTAACAGTAGGCTGCAGCTGTCCTTCCCCGCTCCCTTACATTTCCTACTGTTGGAGGGGCTGCACCTGCCACCATCTCCTCCTGGAGTCCCTGAGATTCCCAAGAAAAATTCACAGAACACAGTATCCCTGGTATGAGTCAGGATTATATCAAGACACTATTTCCCTTTAACAACTACTTTCAGAACAAATTGGTAAACCTAAAAATAACAGAAAAGCTCACCTTCAATGTCTGCTCTGGTCCCTATATTCTTAAGTTGGGGAAAGTGAGGCCTAGAAAGGTGAGGCCAAGGCGATTAGGCCCAAGCAGACCCCACCCAGCAGAGCCAGGAGGACTACCAGATACACTGCCTGCTAACCTGGCTACCTCCTGGGGCCAGGGCTGTTTCTGAGAGCTGATGGGGCATGGGGTGGTCGCCAGGGGAAGGAGCTGGCAGAAGCCCAGAGGAAGATGCCAAGAAGAAACGAGAGGGGAAAGAAACGTTTGCTGAGAAAATCAGCCCGAAGGCTCTCAGCCAGTGGGCTAGTGAGTGAAGGGAGGCAGGTGGGCGGGGCAGGCACTGGACGCAGCACAGCGGAGGGGAGGCAAGGAGCCCCTGAGAAGGAGCCACAGCTTCGGGCAAAGCAGGGCTGAGATAATAAGGCAGGAAGAGCCTGCGCGGCAGACAGTGCTCAGCAGAAGCCTGACCCAGTGCAGCCAAGCCAGGTCCCACAGGCTAAGGCGGGTCAGAGGTCAATGCGGCACTCCCACTCTGAGCTTTACCTTTCCTCTGCATGGAATGGGTAGATAGATGATACGAACCGTCATCCTGCCCACAAAGTCCAACCGTCTACCGACTGTACTAATGACTCAGCGAGTGTTTACTTCACGTCACGCACCAGAGCAGGTATTGCCACTCCTATTCTACAGAGGAGGCCATTGGGCCTGGTAAGGCAACATGCCGCTTGCAGAATCCAGGTGACTCTAAGCCTCTTTCTCAGTGACTACATACACTGCCTCTCAGTGCTGGTTCTTCACACACTGTCACTGGGGTCCCTTTCCAAGGAGAGGTGCAGTGCAGCAAGATCATCTCTGAGGCCTCGTTCTTCTTTAAGGGCCCATGATTTTATTTAAAAGGGTAGTAGGTAGGCATGGAGATCAAGTCCAAAGTCTTTGGCCCAACTCTGGAGACCCTCAGAGCCTGGGCTCCCCAGACCTATATGGTGCCCCTCATGCTCTGGAGCCACAGTGCCAGGGCTAGTGCTGCTCTGGGCCTCAGCTTCCTCTTCTATAAAATAACAATAACAGTCCGCACTTCACAGGGTTGCTGTGCGGAAGTGCCTGGCAGGTAACTTGCTGTCACTAACCCCCACCCTCTTGCTCATCGCTGGGTTCAAGGTGCTCTTCACCGCCTACTCTGAGCAGCCTTGCCAGGCGCCCCTCCCCCTGAGGCTAGGACGGTCCTCCTGGGTTCCTGGAGCCCTTGAGCCACTCACTCCCTTGGCCCTTATCACAGACTGTGGTCATTTTGTTTGTTTGTTTGTAGCCACATCAAACACTTTTGTTTTTTTAATCCTCACCCTAGGACATGCTTTTACTGATTTAAGAGAGGAAGGGAGAGAGGGAGAGAGAGAGACATTGATGTGGGAGTGAAACATCAATCAGGTGCCTCTTGCATGCACTCCGACAGGGTATCAAACCTGCAGCCTGGTCATGTGCCCTGACTGGGAATCAAAGCCATGACCTTTTGGTGTATGGGAGGGTGCTCCAACAGACTGAGCACCTGGCCAGGGCCCAACCACTTGAACCCAGGCTGGAGCATCCAGCCCCAGGCCTGGCCAAGAGAGGCTGCTCAAGAAGCATGTACTAGATCCATTCCTCCACCCTGCCATCCAGCAAACAAGTCTGGAGCACCCATGCTCTCCTAGCCCCAGAGAACCAGGGCTATGCTCATACTCAGATCCTGCCCTCCTTGGGCTCATACTTGAGTGAAGGAGACAGGGTGACAAACTGACAATGGCATGTGGTAAGTGCCACTGTGGGGGCTCCAGAGTCCAGAGGGCCAGACCCTGTCACTATCAGCAGGTGAGTGGCAGGCCTGCATTGGGCTGATCCTTTGCACCTTCACCGGGAGGACCATTGGCTGCCATGAAACGCCAAGGTAGAGCCTGAGGCACCCCAGCATGCCCCATCACCACCACCTCAGGCAAAGGCTGTTGAACAGGAAATAGATCCACTATTTCCACAAACCTGCGAGTCATGCCCTGCTCTGGGGACTTTACCTACATTTACTCTGCTCTGCCAGGGCCACAACCAAATCTCTGGCCCCTGCTGTTAAGCATCACTGCCTGTTTGTCCTAACGTGCTCTGATCAGGACCTGGCCCCTGGCACCACTCACCAATCACAATCACATTGCCCTGGCTTATGGGCCCAGCACTGTGCTGGGCACTACGGGGCATAGTCATTGTTCATCCACCAAGCATCAGCCTGCAAGAACACGCCACAGGCACTGTGGTGTTTGATACTCTCGGTGGCCTAGGGGTCAAACATTCCACAGATGAGGACTCTAATGCACAGCCCCTTCCCATGTGCCCAGGAGCAGCTGTGGGCAGTGCAGTGCCTGGCACAGGGCAGGCACTCCAGGTGCATTTGTTGAAGTAGGTCAGGTTCAAACTGAGCTTTGAAGAGGGGAGATGGGAGAAAAGAGGGGCACTTCAAGGGACACAGCACTGGTCTGAGAGGGCAGTGGGGGGTGGGGAGGAGCCTAGCCTGCCTGGGGTCTAGACCAGGCCATTTCCAGGGGATCAAGGGCAGCCTAAGGACAAGCAAAGCTGCTGAAACCTGAGTAGGGGCGGGAGAGGTTCCCACCCAAACACAGGAGCCTGGGTTTGGAAAGAAAGGTAGACTGGGGAGGTGGTGATTGGCAGGAGGGGGGGAGGTAGGAGGGCAGGACCTTGATGAGAGGTGGGGGAAATGAAGAGCTCATTGGGGATAGAGGAGGGGATGAGTGCTCAGCGGGGGACAGGGAAGGGGGTAGTGAGGCGCTCAGAGGGGAACAGGGAAGGGGGTAGTGAGGTGCTCAGAATTCGCAGGAGCTCTCAGCCCTAAGGCTCAATGCCTGTTGCAACCAGAGCAGGACTGTCCCTTTCATGTCTCCGAATACTTGGGCACCTGGCAACGCATCCCATTTGAGGTTCAATGTACCAGTGGGGAGGGTTAATCATCCAGCCTGAGGCCCAGATCTTGCAAGGCTCCCCCCTGCTGGGCCCTCTTCCCTAAGGCAAGAGTCCAGGCTCTACTAGAACGTTCGGATCAGCCCCAGTACAGATGCCCTGGCTAACCATTTACTGGCCAGCTGCCCCACGGAGTGTGGGGTACAGTGTCCATCCTATAGAGGGAGAACCAGCGTATCAGGGCTGCCAGCTTTGTGGATCCGAGGAGCCCTTGGGGCAGGAGCAGGCTGGCACCTGGGGACAAGGCAGTGAAGGGGAGGAAGGGGAGAAGCCAAGAGAGGGGAGTCCCAGGAGGAAAAACTGCTATAAATGAAAAACCTGGTGTTCACCTGGCAGAAGTGCTGAATGGAGGCGACAGCCTCCATCTTTAAAGAGTATGAATCCAGCTTTCAGAAATGGCCAGTTAGTTCTACGGTCCCAAACCTATGGGGCACATCCCTCTATTTATTGGCAGTCGAATTAAAAATAAAAAGTGGTGCCCAGCCAGTGTGGCTCAGTGAATTGAGTGTAGTCCCATGGACTGAGAGGTCCCAGTTGGATTCCCTGTCAGGGCACATGCCTGGGTTGTGGGCTCGATTCCCAGTGGGGGGCATGCAGGAGGCAGCCGATTGATGTTTCTCTCTCTCTCTCCCTTCCTCTTTCTCTAAAAAATCAATAAAAACCTATTTTTAAAAAAGTGGTGTCGCCCGGCTGGTGTGGCTCAGTGGTTGAACATTGACCCATGCACCAAGAGGTCGCTGGTTCAATTCCCGGTCAGGGCACATGCCCAGGTTGTGGGCCCAATCCCCAGTAGGGGGCATGCAGGAGGCGGCCAATCTATGTTCTCTCACATCGATGTTTCTATTTCTCTCTCCCTCACCCTACCTCTCTCTCTCTCTAATATCAATAAAGAAAAAAAAGTGGTGTCCTGGCCTGGTAGCTCAGTTATCCCTATACACCAAGGTTGTGGGTTCAATCCCTGGTCAGGGCACATATAAGAATCAACCAATGAATGCATACATAAGTGGAATAACAAATCGATGTTTCTTTCTCTCTCTAAAATCAATTTTTTTAAAAAAAAGTAGTGAGTCCCATAGAAGTAGTAGATTTCAATGGTCCGGCTATAAATGAACCTGGAAAGGGAGCCAAAGAGGGGGCCAAGCCTGGAATTGAGGGCCAGCTTCCAAAGCAGAGGGATTGCTTTTAAAGGCAACAGCTTTTGGATGGATGACATTTTGTAAACTATGGTCCCTAACAATGAGATCTTACTATATCTTCTATCTCTGCATCTTTGAAAGATGAGCAACAAAGTCTGTTCAAAACCAGAGGAAGAAAGTGGCAGCAAGTTAGGTGGTCAGTGATGAAGGCCAAGGCCTTTCCTGCCTGCCCTGTGTCAGTGGCAGGCATGGGTTGTCTCAGGGCACCCCATGCTTGGAAACAGGGGACTGAATGGGATGGTCTCTAGAGAGCTCTGGCCAAACGGAAGCTGCTGGAGAATTCCCTCTGTAGGAGGGGTTGAGGGTGAATCCCCTACTCTACCTGGCTTCCAGAACTTCTTGGCTGTCATCCAGTCCCTCTTGTCATTCTCTGAACCCGTAATGTCCTCCGAGTCCTCCTCGTCCATGGGCTCGCCCACCCACTGCAGACCATAGTCACCAAGGAAGCGCTGAAGGGGGAGATGCCAGGGGCCCTGTCAGCTCAGTCCCTTCCCAGGAAAGAGGTGGCATCTGCCCAGTCCCAGCCTCATGCCTCAGCTCCCAGAGCTGACTGGGCAGAGGGGATGGGCTCAGGGTTCTTGGTCACTTTCTGGCTGTAAACTTGGGAAGCCACTCCACGGCCTAGCAGGACGGGAACCTTTCTTCTGTCAAGGGCCATTTGGATATTTATAACATCATTCTCAAGCCACACAAAATCATCAACTTAAAAATTAGCCTGCTACGGCCAGTGCGGCTCAGTGGATTGAGCGTTGTCCCATAGACTGAGAGGTCCGGGTTTGATTCCTGGTCGGGGCACATGCCTGGGTTGCAAGTTTGATTCCCAGTAGGGGACGCAGGAGGCAACCGATCCATGTTTCTCACATCGATATTTCTCTCTCTCTCTCCAAAAACTCAATTAAAACATTTTTTTTATTTTTCATCCTCACCCGAGGACATTTTTCCATTTTTTGTTCAGATAGAGTGGGAGGGAGGGAGGAAGGGAGAGGGCGAGGAAGAGAGAGAGAGAGAGAGAGAGAGAGAGAGAGAGAGAGAGAGAAACATCGATGTGAAAGGGACACATCGAGTGGCTGCCTCCTGCACAACTCAACCAGGGCCGGGGACAAACTGCAACCGCGGTACGTGCCCTTAGCGGGAACCGAACCCAGGTCTCTCTGGACCACAGGCTGACGCTCTAACCGCTGAGCAAAACTGGCCAGGGCAATAAAAACATATTTTTAAAAAAATTACCCTGCTACATTTGGTCAGGCTAATTTGGTGAGGCCTGTGATATTAGCTGGTATTGACTTTGGGGGCCTTATACAGCCCTTGGGGGGACGTTCCCCACCCCTGTAGCCTCAGGCTCCTCCTCATGCAGTGGAGATGACAACACCTGCCCCATAAGCTAGTGAGGACTCAGCAAGAGAATTCATGTCAAGTACCCAGCACACGCACAGGAACTCGTTGCAGGCAGCCGTATGATGGTGGGGACCACGTGGGAGGAGGGGCGGGGTACCCTGCTCTGCAGGACTGAGAGGATGCAGCCACCCACACACGGCCTCCCTGGGGCTGGGTGTCACATTTCTACCACAGGAAAATTTCTGAATTATCTACACTTCCTTTTGCTACTTCCTCATCTCCCTTTCCCCAACCCACTGCTCAGAGGCAGCTACCAATAACCTGCCTGGTGCCAAACCCAGTGGGCACACTTCTTTCTTCATCTCTGGTAACACGTGTTGTTCCTCTTCAGTTTCACATTTCCAACCATCTACACTTAGATGTCTAATAGGCATCTCAAAATGACAGTGGTGACCCAAATAGTCACCACTCCCTGCCCCCACCTCCCAAACCCCTTCTCCTCCAGGCCTCCCACATCCCGTCAACAGCACCCCCCTGCCTAGGCCTCACCCTGACCCTTTCCTCCCTCTGCCTCACCAAGACCTTCACCGCCTGTGGGCGCCACCTCCTGAGCTGGCTCAAATCCGTCCCCTCCCCTCCGCCCTTCTGCTGCCACCCTCCTTCAAGCCTCGGTCACTTCCCTCCTAAAAATTCAAACTGAGCTTCTACCTGCCTCCCCCATCCTTTGCTCTAACTGAACCTTCCCTGTGGTTTCCCATTCCTGCAGCAAGAACAGAATCCAACCCGCACCGCGATGATCCCTGCCACGCCGTCCGGCTCTCCCTCTCGCTCCCACAACCACCCACCATAAGCCAAGTTTCTATGGTGGGAGGTGGAGCTTTTCGTCTCTTCAGCCTGAATTCTCTTTCCCTGGTCCCCTTGCATCCTCTAGATCTCCTGCCCAATGTCACCCCACAGAGCAGACCAAATCCCAGCTAATCTCTATTGTCACCCACTGAAATATTTCATCGCATCTCTGTTCCTGTGGATCTTTCTGTGTACTCGTTTCTGTCTCTGTCCCTTCCAGACTTTCAGCCTCATGAGGGCAGGGACCACATCTACATCCCAGTACCTGGGAAACAGGGGATGCTTTGTATGAGTTTGTTAAAATAATGAAACTATAAATGTGTGAACAAAGTGAACACAGGGGCTGCGATACCCTCTGCCCTGAGCCTCTGGGGCACAGCCCTCACCCCAGTGGCAGCTGCTCAGAGAAGCCCCAGGGCTGGCTGCCAGCATTCCCAGCAGGCTGCTCAGGGAGCTGCTGTGTTTCCCCGCAAGGACAGTGACACAGGGTGACTGAGATGCCACGTTCAGAGACAGGGAATGGCCATAACCAATTCAGCAAACACATCTGAACAGGAGGGAGGCAGCCCCTCCTCTCCTCGTGGAGTTCACAGTGCCTGGGGGAAGAGAGTTGAGGCATGAAGGAAGCACAGGACAGCGAGCCTGCCTGATTAGAGTCGGAGTGGGACCTGGGGAAGGCCCACCTTCCTTTGAGACTGAGGATGAGTCAAAACTCACTAGGGGAATGTGGGAAAAACATTTCAGGCAGAGGGATCAGCATGGGCCAAGGTCCTGAGGTGAGAAAGAGCTCAATGTGGTCAAAGAACCAGAGGCAGGGCCCGTGGCTAGAGGGGAGTGGTTCAAGGTGAAACTAAGAGGTAACCCAGGCTGGAAGGAGTGTGCCCCTCCCTGGACACCTTTCTGGCTCTTTAAACTGCCAGTTGGTCCTGAGTAGGGAAACCGGAGCAGGGCCCGGGTGCGGAGTCCTGGCGAGGGGGCCCAGAGAGGTGGGCTCTGACCCTGCCGCTGCCTCTCACCTCCATCTCGCTGATCTGCTGCTGCAGCTGTGTGCACATCGCCTCCAGCTCCTCCTGCCGCTGCTGGGACATCTGGCCTTCGGGAGACAGGGAGAGGGGTTCCGCTGCCCCAGCATGAGGCTGCCAGGAGAACTCTAGGGGTCCCCTGAGAACTGTCTCCAGCCTCTCTCCCTGGCCCTGACAGGGGACACCCTCCTGACTGTGGAGGCTGCATTACTTCCACTTTCGATGGAGCGCCCTGTGCTCAGTCCCACACGGGAGGGCATCCTGAGTGTGTCAGTGCCCCTCTCTGGGCTCAGCTGTCCAGACCCCACCACAGGACTCGGCTTGATGCCTCGGAGCCCTGCTGCCCAGGAGTCACTGGCCAAGGGGAAGCACAACAGGAAGGCTGAGCAGCCCACCGAGAGCCTCTTACCCTTGTGCTCCTGGAGGGTCTCCACCAGTTCCTCCAGGGCCCGTATCTTCCGATCCTGTAGCAGCAAGACATGGGGGCAGGGGGGAGGGCAAACAGGCCTGGTGGTTCTAAGAGCCCAAGGGAGCCCCTTCCAGAAGGGAAGATCCAGACTTTTTGCCTCTGCGGGGGCACTAGAGAGCTTAAAGCCCCTGCCCCTGCCACCCTTTGGCACAGCCACCGCTCCTGTACCACAGATGACCCCTGAGGTTCCACTGAGGTGGGGGAAAGCTGTGGAGGTGCCCCGAGGTACTCGGAACTCAGCAGCCACAGCTGCCATCCAGTCTGAGGCCTACAGGCCTTGCTCAGCTGTGGAGACTTCCTCTGGCCTCTCTACTCAGGTCACAGGGACCCAGATGGGACCCAGGCCATGCCTGACCCTCAAACTGGGCAGTTCAGTGTGGGAGATAGTTCTAGAACCCACCCACCCTGCCCTACTGCAGTAGTAGCCTCACTGGTCACACCGGCCTGGACCCCCTCCACCCTTCAGACCAGACCCTGGCCCTCTCCCCGCTGGGTCCCACCTTGGACAGCATCTCATCAGTCTGGGCCTTCACCTGCCGCTCCAGATCCCGCACCTTCCTTGCCATGGTGGCCATCAGCTCCGAGTCATGGAACACAGGGCCTGCCAACCAGACAAAGTCCTAGAGCCCATGTCTAGAGCTGAGACTGAAGTATGGGGATCCAGGGGAGGGGAAGAGGGATCCCCAGGAGTGGAAATAAGAGTAATAACAATAGCTGTCACCCAGATAATAGGGGCCATGCTAAATGCTTTTAAGCATCAACTTGTGCAACCCTTACAACATGCCTCTGAGGAAACGAACTGCTTTAGGAAACTGAGGCACAGAGAGATTCAGTAATTTGTCCAAGGTGTACGAGTAAGTGGCATAACACATGGGTCACATCAACTTGAAGCACTTTAAAAAAATCTTCCCTCAATCAAATCAAACCTCTAAGCCTCACCTCAAGTTTACAGGAAAGACAGAGGATAGAGGAGCAAGTTAAACAGCAGAAAAGCCCAGGGCGGGACATTCCGCAAGACAGGGGACTGGATCTTCAGAAAGTCAGTGCCATTTTTGAAAAGGCAAGGAGGGACTCTGTTTTATGAAGGTATTACAATCAAAAGCAGCACATGACCCTTGACCTAGACCAGGAAAAAAAGAGCTGTGAGGCCTGGCCGGGTAGCTCAGTTGGTTAGAGATTTGTCCTGATATGCAAGGTTGTGGGTTCGATCTCTGGTCAGGGCACATACAGGCAGCAAGCAATGAATGCATAAGTGGAACAACAAATCGATGTTTCTCTTCATCTCCCTTCCTTTCTCTAAAAACCAATAAAAAAATTGTTTTAATAGCTGGGAGATGTTTTGGAACTGGGGAAACGTGAGCACAGAAGCGACGCTGGAGAGCGTGACCGAATCAAGCACGATCTCGGGCGTGATCACGGAACTGTGGCTGTGTGGCTTTTATTCTTGAGACGCACACTGAAGAATTCAGAGGTGAAATGTCATGATATGTGTGACTGATTCCTAAATGGTTCATCAAAAAAACATTTACTTTCATATACGTGTGTGTGGAGAGAAGGCCAGTGTGGCAAAATGCCACTAATTGTTTCCAGATGGAGGGTATATGGGCGTTCCTGTACTATTATTTCAGCTTTTCTATATGATAGGCATTTTTCAAATTAAAAAGGTTGAGAAAAGAAAAGAAGAGAGAGACACGGGGAGAAGCAGGCGCTCTTCTTCCCCAGGATGTTGTCTACACACGTGAGAAGCAGGTCGGAACTGCCATCCTGCAACCACGTGGGGCTGACGTGCCCAGGACGATGCAGTGGAAAGATGAAGAAACCTCAACTTGTGAGGACGACTTCGAGTTGTTGGATTAACAACCCTTGAGCTGCCTCCTTAGGCCTTCTTGGTACGTGGGACAATAAGTCCTCCCTAATGTCCACACCAGCTGAGTAGGGTTTTCTTTGACTTATAGTTAAAAGTACCTTAGCTGAGCCCAGCTGTGTGGCTCAGCGGTTGAGCGTCAACCCATGTACCAACAGGTCGCCGGTTCAATTCCCGGTCAGGGCACGTGCCCAGGTTGTGGGTCCGATCCCCAGTGGGGGGCATGCAGGAGGCGGCCAACTGTTCTCTCTCATCGATGTTTCTATCTCTCTCTCCCTTCCTCTCTAAAATTAATAAAAACATGTTTTAAAAAAAGGCAGTTTAGCTGATATGTAGACATCTGGAAACTGCCAGTAATAGATGTCAGAATGTGTATGAGCTCACTGGGACCGAGCGGAGAGGGAGGAGGACCCAGCAGTCACACTGAAAAGCTAGGAGGGTGAGAAGGAGCCAGCGAAGAGAGCTGAGGGTAAAACCTGGGAGGCAGGAAGACACCTGGGAGAGCGGTGTCCTGGCGGCAAGAGCCTGGGTGTCCTGAGAAGAAGGGAACAGTAACCATGTGGAAAGCTGCTGTGCAGAGAAGTGGGAGAGGACAGGTAAGCCCTTGAGGGGGACACACTGGCTGAGAGTGGGGTGAGGAATAAAGGGCAGGGGAGTGGTTTGGAGAGCATGTGAATGGCTCTTCAAGTGGAGGAGCTGCTCATTGTGATTACTAATGAAAGTGTCCCCAGCTGGGGTGAAGGAGGCTCTGGCGTTGTGGCTGATGGCTGTGGCGCCAGGCTCTTTCTGTCGCCTTTGCTCTTTTTTTTAATTCTCACCTGAGGATGCTTTTCCGTTTATCTTCAGATACAGTGGGAAGGAGAGAAAAAGAGAAAGAGAGAGAGAAACATCGATGTGAGAGGGACACATCGACCGGATGCTTCCCGCACAACCCCGACCAGGGCCCGGGACAAACCGCAACCGGGATACATGCCCTTTACCAGAATCGAAACCTTGACCCTTTGGTCTGTGGGCCGACACTCCAACCCCTGAGCCAAACCGGCCAGGGCCTATCTCCTTTTCTTAAATATTTTTTCCTTCATTGATGTTACAGAAAGAGGAAGGGAGAGGGAAAGATAGAAACATCGATGAGAGAGAACATTGATTGGCTGCCTCCTGCATGCCCCCCACTGGGGATTTGGCCCACAACCTGGGCATGTGCTCTGACCGGGAATCGAACTGGTAACCTCTTGGTGCATGGGGTCAATGCTCAACCACTGAGCCACACCAGCTGGGCTCCTGTCCCTAGCATTTCAGTGGATGGGTGTTTGGTGGAAGATACCCTATCAAATCCTCACCTCAACATGCTGACCCAGGTGTTCCCATTCCCGCTTCACAGAGGAGGAAATGGAGATGGAGAGACAGAAGTGCTTATCTGAGATACACAGCTGGTGGAGAATTCTAAGTTCATCCCCAGCTATCCCCAGCTCCACAACTCCCAGCTCAGACCCTGACCCTGCCCAGCACTCTGCCCAGCTCATCCTGTCTGCCCAAGGCTCCCCTTTGCCCAGACCTGATCAATCCTACCTCCTCTGGAAAGTCACCCTGATGAGTCCCATCCCACTTTAGGCACCTACATGACCACAGTGTCACTTTGGGCCTTGCCCAGAGCCCTGCAAAGCAGGAAGCAGACAGTTGGAGGCAGAGCTTCCCCTCAGGCCCTTCATTCCTCTGACCCTGGACCCTGGACCCACTGACATTACACTTGATGGTAACTTCAGCCAGGTTCACGCCAGGGGCACTAGCCACACTCCTGAGCTAAGGGTGGGGCCCACATAGCCTTATGCCAGACCAGGCCCTGGACAGGTTTAGGGAAGCAGACACATGGCCGTGGTCAACCAGAAATGGGAGCAGCTGTCTCAGACCCAGCAGGCGGGGAGTAGGTGCCATGGCCCTCTGGACCTCTCTGCTTCTCTGGGGCCCTCTCCTGCTGCTGGGAACCCAGACCCCTTTAGACCTCTGCTCTCACCTTGCCTACTCACAGGGGCACCTATGCCACCATAGCAGGAAGGGACAGAGATCCTTTCTTCTGAGCCATGTCCATCATTCAGCATGTCCACCTCATCTTCTGCGGACAGGGATGTCAGGTCACTGCTCTGGGGCTAAGGCCCAGAGTAAACTGGAGCCCCGGGCCCTGGCCAAGATGAAGCAGCCTGTATTCTGTGCCCTCAAGCATATGAGGATAGAAAACTTGGGATGTTGGTGAGCAAGGATCCAACCAGAACAGCCTCCTGGGGGTCCTGAATGCCCGATGCCAGCACCATGTTGGGGGCAAGAGTGGGGTTGGGATGCAAAGACCTGAGCCTGCAGGAATCAGAGGAGTGATGGGAGGACAGGGCTTCAGGAAGGAAACGCTCTGCTGGGCTGGAGGCGGCTGTTTGGGGAAGGAGGGCTGGAATTTGGCCCCCTCATGGATTCTCAGCACTCACCAGCCAACACAGTGGGTGGAGGGGTTCAAATGTTAGTGATGACATCTCTGTAAGGGTGGGGGGCCTCCTACTGAGAACTGCCAAGAGGAAGCCCTGACCACGGAGGGGTGGAAGCTGCAAATAAAACTGGGATTGGGCCAGCTTCCCTGGCTGATGGAAGTAGTCATCAGTGCTCTGTCTCTCCATCTGCCCCACCCCAAGGAGACAGGGCAGAGGGAGGCGAGGAGGGTGCAAGGGCAGAGCTCTCACTCACCGTCTCCGTAGAGTTTTATCCCTCGCCTCCTAGGAGTCCGGGCAGGAAGGAGAAGAAAGACAGACACATTAGGACCCCCTGGAATGTCGTCAGGGTACAGGCCCTGGCTACCAAGCCCCCAGCCAAGCCTTAAGGAGATGGAGGTTGCGCCTCCTGAGGGCATCCACCCCCAAATCCCATCCTGGTACTGGGATGAGCCAAGGAGCAGGCTTCAGGGTATCCAGCTCCTCCCAACAGAGAAGGACAGGGAAGAGCAGGAGGGCAGAGTCTTGGGTGGAAGACAAAGAGTCCCCAAGTCAAGGAGCCCAGCCCCAGCTCTGCTCTGAAATGGCTGTGGAAGGCCTGACACTCAGCCTCTCTGGATCCCCTTGGCCTTCAAATGACTCAAGTGATGAGCAGAAGAGTAAGGAGAGAGGTAAAAAGAATTTCTTTGAAAGATGAAAGTGCTAGATAGATGTAAAGGGAGAGCCCAGCATGTGGCAGGGTCCAGAAGAGGAGCACAGCCATTATTTGCACAATTCATGCGAATGAATAAGTAGAGGGATGCTAAGCCACTCCCACGGAGCCCAAGCCTTACTAAAGGGCCTAGTGTGTGCCTGACACACGTAGAGCCTCCCAGAAGGCAGAGAAGGATAAGGGGGTCAGACTCCTTATTGTTCTCCCCAAGACACCAGGGGTCATTCTAGTCCACAGGAGGGGCAAGGAGGAGGCAGGGGCATGGACACAAATGACCCGGAGGCCAGCCTCTTACCCTGAATTCACAGGCTCCGATGGCAGGGGCACTCTTCGGGTCTTGCCAAGAGAGGCCAAAGGTGAGCTCATAGTTCTAGATTCTGTCAGGAACTCCCTGAGTAGAAAGAAAGAAGTCAGCCCTTGGAGCCACTCCCGCAGGACCAGAAAGAAACCTGAGCTTTCTCTTCCCTGGTTACTTTCCCAAAAGGGAGCACTGTCTAGGGAGCATCACCCTCACTTCTTCCCACTGCTCCTGCTGAGGTTTCTGGAGGCAGCTGGGCCTCAGGATCCCTGTGATTATCATCTGCCTGCTTGCCCTAACCGGTCTGGCTCAGCGGTTAGAGCGTCGGCCCACGGACCAATGAGTCGTGGGTTCTATTCCAGTCAAGGGCACATATCTTGGTTGCGGTTCATCCCCGGCCCTGGTTGGGGTCATGAGGGAAGCAAGCAGTTGATGTGTTTCTCTCTTTCTCACATTGATGTTTCTCTCTCTCCCTCCCTCCCTCCCACTCTATCTGAACATAAATGGAAAAATATCCTCGGATGAAGATTTTTAAAAAAAATTGTAACATCTGCCTGCTCCTGTGCTCTGAACCTGGAGGCCTCTGTCCTGGTAGTGCTTGGAAACAAGCAACCGGGATGGAGTGGGCTGCAGAGATGTGTCAGAAGCTGGGACTTACCCAGATTTAGAGCCCAAGAGGCCTGGAGCTTTTGTCCTTCCATCAAGTAGCCGGTCAACACAAAGCCCTGATGTCCCCTCCCCTCCTACCAGAGCCCAGGTGACAACCCAGTATCTCAGAGCCAGAGAGGGGCAATCCAAAGGCAGGATTCAAACAAGACACAGTCCACGTGGCAGAGAGGTCCAGAATCCAGGCTCTCGACAGGTTCTGCCATCCACCAGTGTAACCCGCACCTCGGTTACCTTTGGTGTAAAGTGGGGATGGTAAAAGTACCAGGTAGGGTTACCCGTGGGATTCAGAAAAAACATACATAAAGCACCTAGCCAAGTGCCACGCTCAAAGGAAGCACTTAAAAATGTGAAGTATGTCTTTTTGGCTTTTGGTTTCCCTTCCTTCCCTCTTCCTTCTGGAAAGATGGATGCACATCAGGGACATAACTAAAGGACACTACAAATTCAGTGAAGTAAGTAGTGTATTATGTGGCCAATATCTAGAAATTCTAGAACGAAAGGACCTCCATCAGGGCCTGAACTGAGTCTTTTGTTCCTCTTTGGAAATGTGTGGCGCTGGCCTCTACCCTGCCCCTGAAGTTGCCCAGCAAAGGGACTTTGCAGCCTGGAGGCAGCCTCCTCTGTCTTCATTCTGGAGTTTGGGACACATGCCCCGCCCCTTCCTCAGAGGAACCCTCCCAGGACCAGGCCTGGAGTATCCTCATACCTACCATCCAGCCTCCCCAACCTGCCCCTATCCTGCCCCAGCCCCTGCTGCCTTGTCCAGGCATTCCCATGGTTTTGTGGCCAAGTGTGACAGTCTCTTGTGGTTCCTTTACCAATTTCCAAATGGTGTCAGTAGGATCTTCTTAAACACAAAGCTGACATGTCATTTCCCTGCTAAAAGCTCAATGACTCTTTCTCACCCATAGAAAAAAACTCACAATTCCTTAACTTGGATGCTCTGGTCCCTGCCTGTGTCTCCTGACCTCACCCCTCCTCTCCTCCTCTTACACTTAAGCCACTCGGAGCCGCCAGCATGGCCTCCAGTGCACGCACCAGGCCCTTCTGCACAGGGCTCCCGGCCTGGAACCGCCTCCTGGAATGGTCTACTTACTCCTAACTGTACCTTTCCCTTGACTGAGCTAATTCCTTCTGATTTTTTCCGTTTGTTTTTGTTTGTTCTTTAGTTTTATTTTAACTTTTACTTTAAAACTATCATAGATTCGCAGGAAATCAGGAAAACAGTACAGAAAGCTTTTGTGTTTCCTTCACCCAATCCCCCCATTTTATTTTATTTTTTTACTTTTTTTTTTGAATCCTCACTCGAGGATATTTTTCTATTTATCTTCAGGTAGAGAGAGAGGAAGAGACAGGGAGAGAGAGAAACATCAGCATGAGAGAGACACGTTGATTGGCTGCGTCTGGCACGACCCCAACCGGCCGGGGATGAACCGCAACCGAGGTATGTGCCCTTGGCTGGAAGCGAACCCGGGACTCATTGGTCCACGGGCCGGTGCTCTATTGCTGAGCCAAACCGGCTAGGGTTAATTTTTTTACATTTTTAAAATTTTCCACTGTGCAATCTGCTTCAGTGCCTGCAGCCTACAGGCAGAGGCCAGGCAATAGTTCAAGACCACAGTTTGCTCTGGCACGGGGCACTACAGTTCCCTCATTTTACATAACTATATGTGTGTATCCTTCCATGCCATGTCATCCATGTGTAGATGTGTATGGAGGTTCATGTAACCACCACTGTAGTCAAGATACAGAACTGTTCTGTCACCATGAAGATCTCCAGTGTGCTATTCCTTTATAGTCGAACACTTCTCTCTCCACCACCCGTTACCCCTGAAAACCACTGGTGTGTTTTCCATCTCTATCATTTTCTTACTTCAAGAAGACTATATAAATGAAATCATACAGTATGTGAGCTTTAAAAAAAGAGTTATTGAGATACGTATAGTTCACATACTTAATGCTTTTAAAGTGCACTATTCAGCCATGGCCAGTTTGGCTCAGAGGCTGAGCATCGGCCTGCGGATCAGAGTCCCGGGATCAGTTCCCGCTAGGGGCATGTACCACAAAATAAATAAATAAATAAATAAATAAATAAATAAATTGCACTATTCAATGGTTTTTAATGTCACAGAGTTATGATGTCATCACCATAATCAATTTTAGAACATTTTCATTACTTTAAATAGCACCATGCACTGTGCTTTTAGTTGCTAAAACAGCCCTGCATAATCACTCACCAGACATGATATTACTTTCCTTCTCCAAACTCTCATCACCATGACCCCTCAAAAGAAACTAGTCAGAAAGACAGAAATTGGAGTGGGTGGAGGTGGAAGAGGTCATAGAGGGGATAAATTATGCTGAATAAATTTTTTAAAATGTTTAAATGACAGAAATTAAGCCTTGGTAAGGATGTAGGGAAATTGGACTGTAATTTGTTGGACTGTAAAATGGTGCAGCTGCTGTGGAAAACAGTAATGGCAGTTCAATAAAAGATTAAATACACTTACCTATGTCCTAGCAATTCCAATCCTAGGCATATACCCAAGAGAAATGAAAACTTATGTCCACACAAAAATGTGTATACATGTTCATAGCAGCATTATTCACAGCAGCTAAAAAGTGGAAACAACCCAAATATCCATCAACCAATGAATGAATAAACAAATATGGTATATCCTTACAATGGAATATTATTTGACAATTAAAAAACAAGGAATGAAATACATGCTATAATGTGAATGGACCTTGAAAACATTATGCTGAGGGAAAGAAGACAACCACAAATTCTACATATTGTTATGATTCCATCTATATGAAATGTCCAGAATGTGCATTTCACATAGCGACCACATAGATTAGTGATTGCCTGCGGTTGGGGACAGGTGTGGAGTAAATGAGAGGTAACTGCTAAAGTGTCCTTTCTGGCTGATGAAAAGTTCTAAAATTTATTGTGGTGATGGTTGCACAACCCTATGAATATACTAGAAACTATTGATGTTTACATTTTAAAGGGGTGAATTATATCTCAATAAAACAATCATAGAAGGAAAAAAAAAAAAAAGGACCTGGTCTCCAAACCCAACCCAACATCTTTCCCTCAAAATACTTCCTATTTCCCCCTTCTTAATGGGACCCATCATCCAACCACAAAATCTTCTCTCCTTCCTTCCCTCTTAATCCCATCCCATCAGATACCAAATCCTGCAGGTAAAACTCTGTAATGTCTCTCACACATAGCTATTCCATTCTATGCCCACTGTTGGCCATCCTGGTGGGGCTTTCACTGTTTTTCTTTGGGGCTGTCACAATGGCCCACAATTGACTTCCCTTCTTCCCGTCTTATTCCAGGCCAAACCAACAACACACTGTCTCCAGATCAATTTTCCCATGGATTATAGGAGCGACGACTGTATCTTCCCATCAGTCTGGGGACTCCTGAGCGCGCGTGGCTGTGTCGCCTATTCCCTCAGACCTGGGGTCCCTGAGGATAGAGCCATGTCACTTTGGCTTCCAGGGGCAAACTATGTCTCCCCCCTCAGGCCTGGAGCACCACAAGGTTGCACTGTCTCTCCCTTAAGGCTTGGGCTTTGAGGGGAAAGCTGTGTCCTTTGCCGCTGCACTTTTGGGACCCAAGTCAGGATTGTGCTTGACTTTCAACATCTTTCGTCACACCTACTCGACCTGTTGGCTCTCCCCAATGCCCGGATACTCTCCAGTGCCCACAGGGACCTGCAAGCCGCACGCTAGCATTCCCGACATCTCCAGCTGGAAGCGCTCTCGGCGAGACGTATTTCATCACCTAACCCCGCCCTGAGAGCCGCGTCGCCTCCTCCTGCCTCCACGCGTAGCCAAAGTAGGCAGCGGCCCGAATCCGATTCCAAGAGCTGGGAGGGCTTGCTGGGGGACTCGGCTAGCTGGGGGAGTGGGCCCTCGGGGCTCTTGGGGCTCCGCCCCAGAATGCGTGGGGTACTCCGCGGGCGAAAAGGCCTCGGGTCGGGACTCACCACGCAGGGCCACTGAGCCGTCCCACGGCGTAGCCATCTTGTTGTCACACGGTTTCCCAGGCGACCAGGACCTGTCCGCTTCTCATTGGCTAATTCGAGGGGATCTCTGCGCAACCAGCAGGCAGCGGAGGCGGTAACAGCCTTCTGTGCTCGAATTCTATTGGCCCACAGAGTCTAAACTCTTCGCGGGATATAGTAAATCCCAGAATCCACCGCGCTGAGCCTGCTCAGGGTTTGGGGAAATGGAAGGTACCTAGTACCACCCGGAGGCGCAGAAAGCAGGCAACCTGGGATTAGATTCATGAAGCCGCAGGAAGCGTCTGGATCTGAATGTGTAATTCTGATAATGCCACTGTTTTGTCAAGTTTATTTGGGGGGAAATTATCCCTCTGAGCCTCTTTCCCCATCTAATCAGTACAATATTTGGTGGGGGCAATTTTGAGTATTAATTGAAATGATGCAGGTACTTAATAAAGGGTCTCTCTCTCTCTCTCTCTCTCTCTCTCTCTCTCTCTCTCTCTCTCTCTCTCTCATCTTTATTGTTGAAAGTATTACAGATGTCCCTCCCTTTCCCCCCATTGACTCTCTCCTTCCCGCTCCCACCCTCCTAAGAAATGTTTCTTGCATCCGAATTTCTCTGAAAACTTCTTGACCAGATGGCGCTCTGAAGGGACGCTCAAATTATAGTTCCTTTGTGTAAAAGTTCGGGTGAGACACTGCCCTTTCCTGAGCCTCATCTGTAAAATTAAGGTGTTAGATTAGAGCAACTAGGCAGTTTAGTTGAGAGCATGGAGCATGACTTTGGCCTCAGGAGTCCTGGCTCCTGATTTGTATGCCTTTAGACAAGTTATTAGTTTTTCCATCTATAAAATGGGGATAATACCCACCCTATGGGGTTTCTATGAGGATTAAATGAGATAATTAATACAAAGTACCTGTCCCAACACCCATGCAAAGTAAACTTTAAGAAACATTTCCTGCTTTTAACTGCCATTAACTTTATCCCTCAACCTTCAGCTGTGATGGTCTGGGATTCTATGACTTCTGATCTTAGGCACCTTTTTTTTTTAATCCTCACCTGAGGATATTTTTCCATTTTTGTTCACATAGAGTGGGAGGAAGAGAGAGAGAGAGAAAAAGAAAAAAACATTGACAGGAGAGGGACACATTGACTGGTTGCCCCCACACTGGAACTGAGGCACATGTCCTTGACTGGAATCAAACCACGGGCGGATGCTCTAACTGCTGAGCCAAACTGACCAGGGCAGGCACCTACTTCTTTATGCCTGGGCTCAATCACCAAAACCCTCTGGGTGTCTCAGACTGCACTTTTCAGTATTTTCCATTTGACATTCTTTTTTTTATTTTTTTTAATCCTCACCGAGGACATTTTTCCAGTTTTTGTTCAGACAGAGCAGGAGGGAGCGAGAGGAAGAGAGAGAGAGAGAGAAATATCGATGTGAAAGGGACACATCAATTGGCTGCCACCGGCACGACCCAACCAGGGCCAGGACCGGGGACAAACTGCAACCAAGTTACATGCCCTTAGCGGGAACTGAACCCCGGTCTCTCTGGACCGCAGGTCAACGCTCCAACCGCTGAGCCAAACCTGCCAGGGCCCATTTGACATTCTAATCCACTGCTTTCAGGGGAGGGCAGGCTCTTTGAGGCAGTATTTTTATTTTTTTTTATTTTTTAAAATATGTTTTTATTAATTTTTCAGAGAGAGAGGGAGAGAGGGACAGAAACATCAGTGTGAGAGAGAAACATCAATGGCTGCCTCCTGCACATCTCCCACTGGGGATCAAGCCCACAACCCAGGCATGCGCCCCAACCCGGAATCAAACTGGGACCTCTCAGTCCCACACCTACCGGGCTCTTTGATGCATTCTTTACACACCAATTGGAGGCTGACGGGAGCTACCAATTAATGAGTGCCATCCAAGTGCCCAATGCCAACATTATGTTTACAGATGAGAAAACTGAAGCTCAGAGAAGTGAAGTGACTTGCTTAAGACTATGCAGGTAGAAAGCAATAGAAGTAGATTAAAACCCAGAACTGTCTGTCTTTAGAATCTGGGCTATTTCTTGGAGCTTCCACTTTAGTAAACATGTAGATGGTACATGCCCACTGCCAAGGAAGGGGTTCAGGTAGAAAGTGTGACTGAAAGTTGGAGGTGGGAGAATTTTACGGCTGAGCTGCTCCCAGAAAGTTCTCTGAGGCTGCATGAATGAGATGAGAAAGTTTGAGGTCATGCTGGGGCCAAGTGTTTTGGGGGGTTTGGAGCCATGGTCAGGGGATTAGCAACCTTATACTGTCACCTTGCTCGTGTTTCTTCAGCAAGGACCAACAGCATAGGAGGCAGGGGGCTCTGGCCTCATGAGACCTGCTATGTTCAGTCCGCTGTATCCTGCCTCAGCAAGACTAGGAAGCATGAGTTGGAATTTTCCCAGGCATCAAGATTTACCACATACCTTCCTCCTGCCCAGGATCCTGCTGATATTCTGCAACAGGCACTCAGCAAACATCTAGTGTGTGTGAGGGAGAGGGGAGCCCTCTAACCTGGTGAGCCAGTTTATTACTTTTTAACAATTTACTGGGGGAAGTCAGAGCCTTATTATAGAAGTATACATTTCCTTTCTTTTTTTTTTTTTTTTGGTACATGCCCCTAGCGGGAACT